TTATTTACGATAGTTTCGCTCGAGAGTTCACAGCAACAGTATCTCAGTCATCATCTACCTTTTGTTCAAGCTTGTTTTTAGCCCGCCTTGTAAGTATTTCGCTTTGTTATTTCATTAGTTTTATTACTGTTATTTGCATCCCTTAGTAAAAGAAATGGGGCGCCTTGTAACTCGGCAGACTATCCTGGTTTTATTTATTCTCTTTGGCCTTTTAAATTTAGGCGCGTGTGCGGGGTTTGCTCTGGCGAATTGTGATTGGCTAGGAAGAACAATTGCCTTCTATCAAGTATTTTTTCAGCAGGGGTGGGTGGCTTTGGGCAAATGATGTATCGGTCCCCAGAAAGGTCACCCCAGGACGCCCGGGATGGAATTTTTTTGTACAGTGCCCAGGCCTCATTTTCTTGGCCGCGCGTTGATCTGGCCCGGCTGCTTCAGCGAGCATATTCTCGGTCTGTTTGGATTATATCCTTCGAGTTTGTCAAAGTCTGTGGGATTCGTTTCTCTATCTGGGAAAGCTTCATTGGTTTCTATATCTGCTGCTATCCTATTTCTACGATCCTGGCATGTTTATTTTCCGTTGGAGTTCGAATTTCGTGAAAAAAGTTGTGTTGAATGAGAGCATGTCGGCGGAAATGGCATCTCGTGTTTCCTACCTTGTATATTACTAGGGTATCTATAAGATAGTAATACTGCGGCACACTCTGTTGATAGTGGCATTAGTTAGGCAGTGGGACTTAAAAGAATCGAAAATGACATTGAATGTCCTATTTACATGTTGGAAAGCACTAGAATAATTACTATCAGTCTATAGAAAGAACTCGTGGGAACGTTGTTTAGAAAATGATCAAGTGGTTACAACTCTGGTTTTCCTACAGTAAAATGTAGGAAATAATAGAAATTCAGATTGTTTATCCATATATTTAATATACAGTGCACGATATTTTCTCTGAAAACACAATACTTTTCTTGCTCTTTGTTGCACTTTATTAAGTAACAGTTATTTAGCTATATATTTTTAGAAAACAACAACACAAAAAACGGAAAAAAAAAGAAACAAAAAGTAAAGAATTCGGTTGGACTTGAATCCTTCACCTTCGGCTCGACGCGACTACACCTAACCACTACACCACAGAGGCTGATTACGTAATGTTTGGGAAAAGTCTTTCATTTTATTGCTTTTCAATGAAACTTCCGCCGGCAAGATCATCGCCAGCCGCATTAACCGAGCTATTAACAGTGAAAAAACAATGTAAACGCATATTCCATGGCAATGAATGAATGAAAGAACATAATTATGCTTTTCAAAACGCCGATACACGTCCTCGTCTGCAACGTAGGACACAAAACATATGTTTTGTTATCTCGATTTCCGCTGTTGTTTTGAAGCGAATGGTCAAAATCACATCCATTTTCGACTCATACAGTTTCTTAAGGATAGCACTGCATGACATTTTCTCACTTTCACATCACCTTCTAGCGAGCTGGAATTTGTATGTCCCCCGTGTTGCGAAGTCGAAGAGCAAATGCTCATCTTCTCGTCAGCTTTAACACCTGGACGAGTCAAAGGCTCTTGAATTGAAATCCAATACCCAAGTTAACCATCGTACTCATCTGAAAGACTCCTGCGTGTCTTAAAATTTGGTAAGAACTCTAACCGTGCTGTAGAAATTTTGCCACAAAGAAAACTCTGAGCAGCGAACGATGCACTCTCTCACCCACTTCCCCGTGTTTTTATTTGAGTTGTTCGTGGCGCAATGCACTCTGGTTAAATGCAATGCATTGTGGTAAAAAGTGTGGTTAAATGCAATGCATTGTGGTAAAAAGTGATGAATTCGAGAATTCGTCGCCCCTTATATATTTTCTTTAAATCCTGATTATGTTGCTGCTCGCTTCGGTCGCTCCGCAGCAATTATTGTATATAGAGTGAATTTAAACAAATTACTACAATTTATCACGAATCTTCGTTGGAGCAATAAGGACAACAACAATTAACTGCAGAGTAAGTTTCATTGATCCGGCTTTATTTAGTATTTCCTAGAAATTTTAGGATGGTATTTTTACCCCATACAAACATAGCCTGCGTGGCAGGCGTTTGAAAGGGAAGGGAAAGGGAGTTTGCTCGCGTTTCCCTCGCACCCCCTTTCCCTTCCCTTTCAAACGCCTGCCACGCAGGCTAATACAAACACTGTAATTTTACTGGAACCGTACTGTGCTACTATTACAGAGCCTGGGTTACCTGTGCTTTTATCTGTTAATTTTTTCAGGTAAAAATAAAACAGTCAGCATAATCACATTTAACTTTTTGCGAGATTAAAGGAGATCTCGAGGGTTATTTCTGTTGTGGTAGAAGATAAAAAGTTTTCGAAAAGACGGCGACACGATGTTCTACTAGTTTTATTATTTTGGCTAGGCGCGCTCGAATTTAAAATACTGACATTTCTATGTTTCTGTTGCCTTAATATTTTCCCCCGCAACTTTCCCCGATTTCCAGCACATAAATCTCTAAAAATCTTAAAGAAATACGGTATATCGCGAACTTTTTCAAAGCATATATAAATTCTTTCAGAACAAACCAAAGTGTATTAATGCAGCTGATTCAGTCCTGTGCGTACACTTGCAATAATATTTGCGAATTTACTAGAGAAACAAACGTCTAGAAAATATATATATTTTTAAAAAATCCAGGTAAATGTTATCTCCCACTAACTGCATGCTCAACTGACCTATAAACAAAACGAAAAACAATATTACAAACACACTTTGTAGTTCTCCAAAATGCACCTTGTTAGCGCTCAACAGCTTGCAGAGGGATTCAACTCCGCGATACACTCCCTGGTTCCGTAACTAAAGCAAATCCTGAGTAGATATGAACAACCATATGAATTTTCTGAATTTCCATGGCACATATTAAGGCATATTTTCCTACCATAAGACCATAAAACAATAAAACAGACAGCAAAATCGATCCTTCTCTCCCCCGACGGCGGATCATTCACGAAAACAACCACGCGAGGAATACGCGCTTTCAACTTCCGGCGTTTCCGACAGCTAATCAGATCTTGCGGCATTGTTCTAACAGCCAAACAGCGTTACGGCCAAAATCTGGCCGTATCGAGCACAAAGGTGAGAGAGTTTGTATCAGGCCCAATTTTAGCGGTAGCCGTTAGAGAGAATGTATGAGAACCGCTAAAATTGGGCGTGATCTCAGGTTAAATTGATTATAGCACCATAGACATAGATTGCAACTCAATTTTGAAGAACTCAGATGAGTGAAGCAAGCTCTATACAAACAAAACGAAATAGAAAACAATACAGTACTGTGAAACTAATCAAATAAGTTCGTCAAATCACGTTTTTTAAAGTAAAAATATTAAAATTTAGGGGTGGCATGCAATCTTTCGCATTTCCGGTGTCTGGCATGTTGGGTGGTGGAATTTAATTATAAGTGTCCGTTTAATACAGGTTGGCAACAATGGAATGACCATTTCAGGTACAATTTTTAGGTGTCCGCGTCCGCTTAATAGAGGTGTCCGCTTAATAAAGGTTTCATTTAAAATAAATAAGGGAAATAAATTTGGGGACTTCGGCTACTGTCCGCTTAATAGAGGGTGTCCGCTTAATACAGGTTTCACTGTACATCTAGCGCTTTCGGAATGTCTGTAAGCGCGGATACCCGTGGATGGCGGATGGCTAGGCTGTGTTGCGGACGCCCGGGATTATTTTTCTCGGGCTACTTTCCTTGCGGGATTTTTTTATTATATTTTTTATTTTCAAACGCCAGATGAAACGCGCTCGACGATCTCTCAACGAGAAAATACAGGGTCTGTGAAGACCTGTGAACTGGCTACAATTTGACTCGCTCCCCCCTGGGGGCACTCCCTATTATGGCCAAAACGGAAGGCTCAGCCCTAAAAGGGTACCTTATTCGAACTTCGAGTACATGAAAGGGTAGGGATTTCGTTAGTTGAAGTATATAAAAGGGTAGAGAAATCTGTCATTTTGTCTGTAAAAGGAGCAAAAATGGCTAACAGACGCATTTTATTGATGTGGAAAGAGACATTGACTTCCTGGTGTAGTGATTTTTTCATATTAAAAGACGCTGAATTTGCTTCAGTTAAAAGGGAAGTAAACTTGTGAAACGGGTACTATTAGTCAATAGAACGTGTACGAGAGAAGAACCTATTCTGTCAAAAATGGTATACAAAAAGATACGCGGTCGGACCTCAGGGTGGAGCCTTCCCGTATAATACGTTGTTGAGTAGCAAACCCCCGGGACTTGCTCTCGCCCTTAAATCCCGCCAGCTACGCAATGGATATGATAGCGGATCGCGGGTTGCGGATAAAAGCGGATAACCGATCGCGGATAACAAAATAAGGTTAGCCTACGCGACGAAATATTCTCTTGTTGTTTTGTTTTGTCTTTTGTCGCATTTTATCTTTAAAATTAATGTTTTCCATTGGATTGGATTAGCGTACTTTCTTGTCGCTTGTCTCACTGACTCAAATAGCATAATTCTATTTCTGGCAACTTTGCAGGGAATGTTGTCGAAGGAAAAAGCTTGTACGTCTCTCGCTCGGGTAATGATGAATGGTCTTGTGATCAATCGAATCCTTGCAAAACCATTGGGCGAGCTGTCACGTTAGCGTCAAGAGGAGATCAAATTCACATTGACGGTAACAACACTGACAAATACCCTTATAGCTGTCAATCAAGAACGTCACAGCGTCCGGGAATATACATCAACAAGACCCTATCACTGATTGGTTCTGCTAATCCTCTGCCTCAAATACGTTGTTTCGAAGAAACAGGGTTGGTGTTCAATGGCTCTGATAGCGCGGAGGACATGAATATAATTATATCAGGACTTTTATTTAGTGAAAGCCTTGTATATGTTCAAGATTCCTCTGTTCATATCGATGGTTGTAAGTTCCAAGGTAGTAATCATAGCGTGGAAATTGTTATTCGTTACAGTGCGTTCTCGAAGATGCTGGTTACAAATTCGACATTCTCTAAAAACCGTAGGTGCATTTCAATAGTTGTCCAAAGTGAAATGAGCTTGTCGCCAAATATCCAATTAATATTCAAGCTTTCAAATTCCTCGTTCGATGGCAATCTTTGTGTAGACAAAGGCGGATGTATCTCGTTCTACAAACCTGAGTCCAGTATACAGACCGTTAGCTGCAATGTCACACTGGATAATGTGATATTCTCCAACAACAACTTCAGTTCAGGACTCTTCTTTCTAAACATTAACAATGGCAGACAGAACATATACCTTCAGAACGTGACAATTAGCGAAAACGCGCCATCGTCAACAGTCTTAGATACTCTGGGAGGTTTCCTCGGTGGTGAATACGTTGTCTCTACTGATGATGCACATTTTTTGGTCAATTCCAGTAACTTCAGAAGTGAACATGCGCGTTTATTCCATGTGACTGCGTCAAACATTTCATTTGAAATCTTCAACTCGCGTTTTTTTGGTCACAATTCCAAAGGAAGAGGTGGAGTTGCATCGCTGGTTGCTGCTTTTCTTTGCAGGCTTAAAGTCTCCAAGTCATTATTTATTGACACAACTGCTGCCCAAGGAGGAGCTTTCAATATAGAATCCTCCAATGATGTTAATGGAAGCATTGAGGATAGCACTTTCTACGGCAATAAAGCAACAAATGGCGGAAGCGGGGGAGCGGTTTTTATTAGTGCCTCAGAGTCATCATTGCGACTAAGTCAGTCTGCCTTTACGGAATGCACTGCTGGATATGGTGGAGCAATTTCTATCGAGACAAAATCGAATTTACCGAGCGCATATCCTAAAGATATTGGTTTGCTCTAAACAATTGAAAGTTCCAATTTTACTGGATGCAGTGCTAATATAGAGGGTGGTGCATTGTACCTGATTTATGACACCAATACGCAAATTAGCCTGAATAAAAGCCTTTTTATCTCTAACGGTATGGAATTCGCGTTCGGAGGTGGGGCTATCTGGGCCGTTTACAATTCAAAATCTGAAAAGGATTTGAACGGGAACACCAGCCAAATGACTTTAGAGCACTGTACGTTTCTAGACAATCATGCTCGTCAAGGTGGTGCTTTATGGCTGTCACTGAATGGTCCAAGTCTGCTCGTGTTCAGGCACGTCATCATGGAAAACAACAGAGCTACTGAAAAATTTGGAGGTGCTGCCGTTATCTACGACAGTGTTATCCAAGTGCAAAACTCGCGATTTTCTAATAACTTTGCAGGTTATGGTGGTGCGTTTTGGATAATCGGTGATGTACGTAGTCTTCAAGTTATGAATTCTGTTTTTGAGAACAATTTTGCTGCAAGCTACTCTGGGGGAGCATTTCTGATTCAAACGGGGCTGGTTTTCCTCTCCATCTCTATAATTAACTCGACTTTTAACAACTGCTCAGCCACATACAATGCTGGTGCTGTCAATCTTGTTACAGGTAACACCGTAACTGTAAGTATCTTTATTAAAATGTCTCGTTTCCAAAACAATTACTGTTCGTCTGGGAGTGGAGGAGCCCTAAGACTGTCTTCGTCGTCTTCGTATGGACACACAGGTATTAAGGTTCAAGAATGTAGTAAGAGTAATACGAAAATACAAAAAAAAGATGGTTCCAAAGAAGACACTCACCTTTTCATCGAAGACTCCGTCTTTGAAAGAAATACTGCACCATTTGGAGGTGCTATATATCTGGGTGTTGGAAAAGCAGCATTTTATAATTGTTCTTTCATTGATAACTTTGCTAGATTGCGAAGTGGACATATTCACTCAGTCTTTGGTTTAGCAAGCTTAACAATACAAGACACCCTCTTTAGACAAATAATGAATGAATTTAAAAGGCATAAGATTATTTTTAAAGATACTTCGTTTCTTGAAGCGGAAAACATCTTAAGTCTTAAGTTATATAATACCACAGTAGATGTTAGACCTTATGGCAGTACCGGCCCCTTTATACTGATAAAAAATGGAAAGCTGATAGACTTGGGAACCAACAACTTGACAAATTATAATTGTCCTGTTGGGAGCAGGCTGGACATTCTAAACATAAAAGATGAGTCCCTCAGTACTTGGCAGTTTAGCTGTTCAGCCTGTACAGGCAATTCCTACAGTTTACAGCGTGGTCGTGCTGTTGGATCTCATGTGGTACCAGGATTTCAGTGTCTTCCATGCCCGTTTGGAGGAAACTGTTCTCAAAATATAATCGCTAAACCAAACTTTTGGGGTTTTCAAGAACAGCGTACTCCGCCAAAGCTTAAGTTTACCATGTGTCCTCTGGGTTACTGTCGCCCACCTGACATAAGAGATTTCCCTAAATATAATGGTTGCCAGGGTAACCGTTCTGGTGAATTATGTGGACAGTGTAGTGATGGTTACTCAGAGACACTTTTTTCTACAAACTGCAGACCCTCACAAGAGTGTAATGATAACTGGTTTTGGCCAGTTGCGTTGCTTTATGTGTTGGTTATGGCTTTTTATTTCACGTTTAAGCCTCCTATTGTCCCCTGGATGAAACGTCAAGTCCTCTGGTTTAAAACGCGCGACACAACAGACGAGGAGAACGAGTTTCACAGAGGTTATCTTAAGATTATTTTTTACTTTTATCAGGCAGCAAACCTTTTGCTCGTGTCCAGTACGTCACTACGTATTTTTCGAACAATGTTTGCGGAGATTCTTGTTGGAATTTTCAATTTTCAACTAAGAGTTTCATCGGGTGGATTGATTTGTCCCGTTCCTGGGATCACTGTGGTAACTAAGCAGTTATTTTCTGTTTCACACGTGTTTGGCACATGTCTGATGATTGGCATTATTTATGTTGTTCACTGGGGAGTTCAGAAGTTTCGAGGTCGAGAAGTACCATTTGCTGGTCCTTATATTGGCGGTATTTTACAAACCATGTTGCTTGGATACACAACTCTTGCTTCTGTCAGTTTTGACCTGCTACGATGTGTTCCCATTGGTTCAGAGAAGCAGATGTTTTATGATGGAAACGTGGAGTGTTTTCAGTGGTGGCAGTACATGTTGATTGTTTTTGTTTGCGCATTCTTTGTACCTTTCGTACTTGTTTTGTTTTGGGGCAGTTTTAAACTTTACAACCAAACACTTTCCGGGGAAAAATTGGTGTTGGCCTGTTTTATTCCTTTACCATCTTTGGTTTATTGGGCTTTCATCTCTTTAATTGAAAGAAGAAAATATGGAGACAACAAAGAAACACTGGTTTCAACCAATGCAGGAAACGATGACACGCCCTCCATCAAAATCACTGTCAATTCTATAAAGAGAGTTCTTTATGACTCTTTCAAGAGACCAGAAGTTGGCGGAAAACTGTCTTTAGGATGGGAAAGTGTTATGATCGGACGCCGGTTGATTTTGGTTGTGTTGAAAGCTTTTGTCAGCGATCCTATGTCTCGTCTTCTTGTCATGATTTTCTTTTGTGTCTTGTTCTTTCATCATCACTCTATGATTCAGCCATTTCGTGACAGTTTGGCCAACAGGGTGGAAACAATTTCGTTGCTATTTCTTACTGTTCTTGCAATTCTCAACATGTTTTTTGCCTCTTTTCTATCGTTGGCTGCAACATCGGACGCTTATTTGAGTTATTGGTGGGATGGCTGTCAAGTTTTACAAGTCATTATTCTCTGTGCTGTACCTACGCTATTTTGCCTTCTTGTGGCTGCGGCTGTTTTATCGCAGCTGAGTCGCCTCATCATCGTGGCTGGGCGCTTTTTACGCAAAATTATGTGGATCTGTCTTAGCATGTGCGATGGAGATCAGAACGATGAAAGAAGACCATTAAGGCTTGTGACCTAATCACCATATTCCTTTACTGCAGACCGCACTCCTCCTGTTTTCCTCCTCCTGCAAATATGAACAGCAAGAAATTTCGCAAAGGGACGAGGACAATGCTTTTTTAGGTCAATTCTGTGCTGAAGCAGGAGTCCATAACCAGGGGCGAACAACTCTCATACTATGCCTATTTCACGGCGTTTTTACATACCAGTTTAGGGCACTTTCTCCCGCGAAAATATAATCTCCACCATATGTCCATATTCGAAGTATAAAATTTCAAAACGGAAATTTAAACGTTACTAAAAGGCAAAAAATATAATTTTTAAGTCTGTAGGTTTAGCTGACTGGTTTGTGGAATTTAAAGGATATTCAAAATTCGCGCCAAAACCGTTCTAAAAGTAAACTGGTCCGTGAAAACGCCGTGACACGAGGACATGTAAGTTGCTCGCTCCAGGTTATAGGCTCCTGGCTGAAGTTATTGTTTAGTACCTTTACCCGCCAAACACGAAATGCTACTGTAGAGTTATGAACAAGATGTCCGTCAAATTCATCAGGATAACTAACCATAATAATTTTGGTGATTGTTGTAGGGATAGCATTGAAATTTGGAAAAACTGGCTCAATTGTTTTCAAGTTTCAATCTAAGTTCATGTTTGCCATCGGTATTAACAAACGACGGAAACAGTTTCAATGCCTACACATATAGTCTTAAACAGCAAAACTGGACCATTACGTTTGGAATTCAGATGATACGAAGACACGTTTTGGCTTTTTTAAAGGATATCATATAGTGTGACGTAGCTCCTTTACTGCGCTTTTCACAAACACGCGAACGTCCAAAAGCCGACTTCCCAATTACGTTTTTCGCTGCCGTCAATCATAATTACGATCACAACCAACGAGACACAGAGGCGCATAAAACGGATCGAAATCCACCAATCACAGATCACAAACCATGTCCTTTTGAACCCGTTTAAGTAAAGTTCTGTTTCCTAAGAGGTCCGCCAAGATGATGACGGCAGCGAAAAACGCAAACGTGAGTTGGCTTTTGAACTTTAGAGTTGGTGTGTTTTTGAAAAGCGCAGTAATCTAAGCGTGTAGTCCCTTAAATCAACAGAAAATCCACCATCCTTTGATTAGAGATCTGCAATGAAAGTGTAATAATCTTTCCAAAAGTTACCATACTCCAAAAATCCCGGGGGGGTTACTTCCTTATAAGAGGTTAGTGGGGATGTGTCGCTTGATGAGGTCGCATTTTCACGACTGGATTGACTATAGTGGGGTCGCATTTTCAATAGAGTTACTAGAACGGGGTTGCACATTTTCTGATTTTTGGGGTAAGACAGTTCTTCATATTTACGATTAGCAAACGTACCAGAATTTTTGCACTGTAGGTGAAAAGTAAACTGTTCTTCATTCAATATTAGGTAGATACATAAACAGAAAGTGACTAAGTAGGGATCGCGAAAATTACATATTTTCCCCAAAGTGACTAAGATGAGGTCTTTAATTGGCCACAGAATAGACTATAATGGGGTAGAGGCTCTAAGAGGCCATCAGCACTCACCCAGCAAAAATTAACCCAAGTACCCCCTCCCCCCGAAGGCAAAAATTTTGACCAATATTTTTATCGCACTAGATAACAAAGGTATTATATTACATTAAATCACTTTCAAATTAATGTATTTATCTATCTTAAAACACAGGCGCTCTTTTGTTTATAAGACGTTTTGATCAGGTAATGTATAGTAGGGTTATTTAGTGACTCTTTCTAAACCGAGAAGAGTGTCTTAACCGTTAGATACCGTAAAATTCCGAAAATAAGCCCCTTCATGTATAAGCCCCTCCAAATAAGCCCCCCAAAATCGTAACGCAAAAAACCCTCCGTTAAATCGCCCCTCTGAATATAAGCCCCCCTGGGTGCTTGTACTTGGAATTTGCCCTCGAATACAAGTATTAGTAAAATCCAACTAGTGGTCTATTATCAATGCTGCGTTCTGATTGGTTGAGGTACTACTAGGCTATATGTTATAGTCTACTTGTAGCGAAAAGCGCGCGCTTTTTGGCGGCAAAAAGGATTAAAGTCTAGCTTTAACAAGCTAAATTTTTTTTATTCTCGATATTTTTGACCAATTAGTTGGATTTTACTAAAACAATTATTCCTCTCGCCCTCATGGCCTCTGAGTCAATAGCCCATTTGGCCTTCGACCTCATGGGCTTTTATAACGCAAATTTCCCTCCGTACATAAGCCCCTCAAAAAGGGCCTTTGAAAAATATAAGCCCCGGGGTTTATTTTCGGAATTTTACGGTATACCGGTGCTATGTTTTAAACCAACTTTCTAGTGTAGTAAAACTAGTGAAGTTGCACTGATCTTTTAAGAGGAACGTTTGGGTCATACATCTTTAGTTCATTATTTGCCCGTAATTCTAGTTAGCTTTTTTGTTGTAGCTTATAAGTACTATTAGTGTCAGGACTACTAGTCTTTAGCTTTAATCTTTAAACAAAATAAACACGCCTTCAATAAAATCAAGCCAAGTGTTGTTGTTACCTGCAAAGCAGACGTAATGCAACCTCGGTTAGTAGAGAGTTTAAGGGTGCGTTTTTTTGGGAGAATCCAAAAGCGGATTTGTGATCTCAGATCATACAGATTCTTTACTACCAAAAACGGAAGATCCGAAAAAGGATCATTTACCATGACAAAGGCATGTCCTCGTGCTCCTCGTGGGAAAAAAAGAAATAACAAACTGATCCCCACGGCAAAGACAAGAGGAAAAAGTAACATAAAATACGAATGAAAATACGAAATGTATATATTTCGGTTTGAAACACAAACGTTTCTCAAATAGAGTACACTCCTTTTAAGAATTTAAAACTGAAGCCGATGAATTGTTCTTTTTTTCTTAATCACTTGGAAAATAAACTGGCGTAAGCAGACACTCGCATACGTACAAAAAACATGGCAAGTAAGGGTTTAAAAACAGTCTATCAATAATTTGAATAGATGACAAACATGAAATGATCTCGGTAATTATTGGCTCAAAATTAATAAGGCGCCACCAACATAGGTTCAGTTAGAATGTCATACATGTACGGCATCTGTTGCGTACCATTTTTTTTTTCGACAAACCGCTTGTCAAAAATACTTTTTTCAAATCCTTTCCCAAAAAAACGCTCAGATTGTGAATTTCAAAAATCCGGATTTGGATTTGATCTGAAGAATCCACCTGAGTGTAGATTTTATGGATTCATGATCCGTTTTTGGATTTACCCAAAAAAACGCAAAATCCGTTTTTGGATTTCCCCCCAAAAATGCACCCTTACTTCACGTATACGACAAACGGCAAACGTCAGATCCAAGTTGAGAATTTCTGAAAATAGAAAATAGCAGATAAAAACAGGTCAAAGCAATTCTTATGGATAAAAAATTGCGTGAAACTACTAATTTAGGTGTAGAAACTAATGAACAGTAAACGACAAGTAAGGAGGAAACTTGGTCACGTGGTACAAATTCGCTTTTACCGTTAATTTGACGTAAACGTGATGCTCACCATCCCTAGTAACGTCTGCGGAGCAGCGCCGATATCCTTGTTCTGGGCACCCAGCGGACTCAACGAATTACCGGAAGTGCGTTTCGTATCTCCTTTCATCCTGATTGGCATTTTACTGGTGTCGTGACATGAGTGGTAGAAACGAACTTGTCAATAATCAATTAAAGTAGTAAGCATGATCGTAAGAATTATTCGCGCTCCATAGGTCTCCGCGGAAATAAAAGAAAGTTCCCAACGAGCTCTATCTAATCATCTGAAAATGGAAAATTTCGAAAAGTCATCAGTTTTTACCAATATTATCTATCTTACCTGACTACCTACATTTGTTTGACCATTCAAGTCAAGAGTGACAAAAACCAATTTTCTAGTAGCCTGCGTAGCAAGCGTTTCCTCGCGAGGTTCGTCTAGAAAGCTAGGACAAGAGCAAAAAAAGAATGAATGACGGGGGAGGGGGAGGGGAACGAAGGAGTTGTCCCCTCCCCCTCCCCCTTCAACCTTTTTTTTGCTTCCGCTCTTAACTTTCGCGCAATAACTCGATTGGAAACGCTTGCTACGCTTGCAACTATTAGAAAAACAAATTTTATATATCATCATGCGAGTTTGAAACTGTAAGTTCTGTGATGGTTACTGTTTGTTAAGCGGACACCTCTACTGATTAAGTGGTCACTATTAAGTGTCTCTCATGGGGAGCAAATCTGACGCGGTTGTGACAGCACTCGCCTCCCACCAATGTGGCCCTGTTCGAATCCTGCTGTACCGTACATGCCATATCTGGGTTGAGTTTGTTGTTGGTTCTCTCCCTTCCTCCGAAAGGTTTTTCTTCGGGTACTCCGGTTTTCCCCTCTCCTTAAAAATCCAACAATTCCAGATTCCAATTCGATCTGGAACGCACGGACACCTTTTAGCGAGTTCATAAGAACTCTTAAGTGCTCCGTGGGTAAACAAAGAAACAAACATGAAACAAACAAATTACAATGTCTGTTTAGAGAGGTTTCAAAGATTTGCTGGGTAAGAATGGTACTTTATGTACTTCTATAAAAGTGTATTATATTTGCATTTTCGTATTTGCTAATAGAGACCTGTAGATTGAAAGACTAGGACGAGAATTAGTTTAAAGTTTTTTTCGCGTATTCTCCAAAAAATAGACACCCCAGAAGGCTTCATTGTCCTTTTCTTGACCAGAAACGTTATTAAAGCATGTTTTATTTTTTATTGAAGGAGGTTAAGCAGTCTCCCGATTGCAAAATGATAAAACGTCTAGCATTTGACAACTTGTTTCTGCCACTACGACACTCGCTAAAGCCGTAGTAGAATGACGACGGCTATCACGTTTTCCCGCCAAAATGACACTGGTTCACGCACGCGCACTACTTAGTATTGAGAAAGTCTCGTACTCATGGTCGCCATCGTCTTACAATCTTAAGGTCTCTAATTATATCATTTGTGAAAACAATGGCACTGAATACTTAGCTGTAGGAAATTTGGATCTTCATTACAATAAATATAATACACTGCATTGCAATGCAATAAAATATTTTTATTTAACCATGTAGACCCCAAAGTTATAAGTATTTTCAGTCGTAGCCATATGTATTGTAGCAGTTATCAAATTTATAAATACATTGCCAACTGTTTCAGAAAATAAGAAATATCTTCTTAAGCCGTTAAATCTGTACATTAAATTACTTGGTCACACACCAAACACTATTCTACAAAAATATGCCTCTGTAAAATCCCAGAGGGAAAGTTACTAAAACGGGGAACGGGTAACGGATAACGGGTAACGGGGAGCGACGAGCGAGCACAGGGGACAGAAAATAAAAAGTGGGAACAAAACCGGCCAAACGTTCCTCGCGCTCTTACTCCGCCCTCCCTTTTAGTAACATCCCCTCTGTAAATGGAAATTTCATTATAAATACACCTAAGCGAAATTGAGAGATGAACCTCTTAGAGACCACTATTTATCATTGGCTCCTGAAAACACTCAGGCTACTGTTTTTGGCGCTAGAGACATTGTTGGTTCATCAATCTATTATATTTTGTTAACAAATTTTACGGGCAACTCGTTCTGAGAGATAAGAAGCAACCGTGATGGAAGTACGAATTATAAAGAGTTGCTGAATAATTTTACACTTCCTTCGCTCCTCAAATAAATAACACATTTCGCTTGCCTCAAGCGTTACGATAAATTGAGAGTTACGTGAATAAAGACAGAGATAAGAGCAAGAAGAGAGGAAAAATTGATACGCAATCCACACAACCCTAATTCCCCGAAAGAGCACCGCCCCGAATACGCACCACATACACTTCATTCCAAGTACCGCCAATCGTAATTTTTTATTTATTGATGCTAATTAGCCCTCTTTGTTTTGATCTCATCTGCAGAACGTTTACTTTAAAACGAGACATCGACGGCCAAATTTTCACGAAGACAACAGAATAATTTTGGAATAAAATGCATTCAGTGGAAAAAAGCGTAATAAGCACGGCCCCGCATAAGCAAGTACCTTCAAGCGACAATGTGGCGCTTTTTAATTTGTTTTTTAGACATTGTTATTATTGCTGTTACCATGTGGAAGTGGACAGAGACCTTCATGGCTAACATTTCCGGATCATAGTGATTACCCAAAGAGCAGAGGTTCCTCTCTTGCATGGCTTTTAGAATTAACGAAGTCGTTCGCGTGGCTCGTCTGTCGCGTAGTTGGGCGTATAAAACAAACCAACTACGCGACTGATAAGCCACGCGAACGACTTCGTAAACTGTAAACGCCATACAAGAGAGAAACCTCTGCTAGCAGGGCACATAATGATCTCCATGTTATATAATTTTTCTATGCTATTGATGTCGCTTTTTAAGTAAACAAAGAAAAAGAGTGAAAAAATACATCATGATATGCAAGTTTCAAGAAATAAGAGCCTCCCTCGAAAAAGGTTACAGAAAAGCTATGGAAAATTTTATTAGCGACGCGGAGCTCTTCCGGGTAAATAAGGTACTGCAGAATTTTCAACGACACAAAAGCAAGGAGGTTTTGCGAGACGGGGGGATTTTGGGAGATTTTCCTCGCGCCTCCTACCATTACGGTTCATGGGATTTCCAAAGGTAAGCCAAACTCGTTCCCAGGGTCCGCTTCTACTCATCCCCTGGAGCGAGAATGTGGGTTGAGTAAGAGAGGATCCTGGGAACGAGGTTGTAGGTAAGCAAAACTGATTGTACTTGTGTAATAAATACAGTTATTACTATAATGAAATTAATATATTAAATGCGATGTTTTTTTTTTCTCAGCCGATTAGAATTGCATTTTCAGAGAGATCGCTGCATGTTTGTCTGCGTTCTGAATGAGTAAGTTCTTTTTTTGTATATTACATTATTTACTGTAAAAGCTCTTTTGACTTCGAAAGACCGTGACATGGATGCTAACGGGGGAAAAATGACCGAAAAATTGTGCACTAACTGAAGTGAAAAAAACTTTGATAGTTCATTGGGTAAGAAATACGTCACCCGAAAACAGATTAACAATTGCTTTGCACAACATTCTATGGTTGAAAAGGAGAAAAACAGATTATTTAGTAGGAAATTACGAAGAAGGGAAGCCAATTTTTTAGGCAAAGAAGTAATATCATGATTTGCACTGATGTATAGAGATAGATTAGGGTTAGTAAGCGCTGACTTAAAATGGTTAGAGTTCATACGTACTGTTTTGGAAACTCCTTATTATAGAAAAACTATAGAATAACGGCATTTGGTACTGATGGTTGCTCCTTTAGTGTAGTGGTTATGATAGGTAGTATACCGGTTCAAAGCTTCCTTGATTATCAGAGATTTTAGAAAAGGTTTTCCTTTTATTCTTGTTAAGCGAATGTTGGACAAATGTTAAGACTGTTTGAACGGGCTGGCGCACTTACACTCTACCAATTGACCAATTCCCCAAATGCATTGCGCACGTTTAGTCGTCATCCTCGCCTTCTTCTTCCTCTTCTACCGATATCCCGTGATGCTTCATGAGGGCCTTCATCATGGCCTCCAGTTGGGTGGTATGATCTAACACAGCTTTGAGTTTTGATTTTAGGGTCATTACTTCGTCTTTTAAAGTCTCCTGATGATTCTGTAGCTTTTCAATTGGAGTCTGATAAAAATATATAGATAAATAATAATAAAAAACGTTGACAGACGTTCCTGAAAGGTGTTTTCTTTTGTAAAGCAATGCCTTGTAATCCAAAGTAAATTGAAATACTAGCAAAGAGAAGGGCGATACGAAGCTATACAAGGCCTCAAGGATTGGCTTAGAAAACAATAAAAAACAGTAACAATGGACTATTGCCGTAAAAATACATGAAGAGGCTGTGTCACGGCTACCTGGTTCATTTTGTTAATGATAGAGACTTAACCATCAGGTTTTTCATGGTTAACGGCAAACATGAGAAGATCACGTGACCACAGTCTTGAAAGGCAGCAAGAGCTTCTAGCGGGAAGTGATTTTTGGCAAAAAATTTGTACAGCCTCACGTTTAAAGGCAAAAGATAGGTTCCTACACCCGCTTGTGATGTGCTAGTTAGATGTTTGAACTCAAATCAATGAATTCTTGATATTTTTCAGGCGATTAAAGTGAAGCACCGCGACTTGACGAAAAACAACGTGGTGCCACCAAACAACGAACACTTGGTTAAAATTTGAAGTACTGTCAACGTGAAACTGCAAACGCGTAACCGCAAACTGCCGTTCGCGGTTTGCAGTTTCCAAAGAAAAACCTATGCTAAAGGTCTCTAATGCCATTTACGCTTCCTAACCGCAACTGATATAGCTCCCGGGGTCATTATTGCACGCCAGCCTCACTATCACTACTATATCAGAGGAAATAAAGCGTATAATCGCTAACCTTTTCTGGGTTCATTGCCTCGTTAATTGCTCTTGCGGGACTGACATTCTGGTTCCAAAATGACCATATTGTCCAGTATCTGTTAGCATTTGGATAAACTACTTCTTGAGTTGTGGCAAACCGTTGTCTCAGCATTGCAGGAAGAGCTTTCTCTACATCTAAAGCAAGGTCAACCTACACAAAAATGGGACACTTACTTCTTAAAACCAACCTGATTACAGGATAAAATTACCCCAGAAAAAATAAAACAGCTGTATCTACGTTGTGTGTCAGTAGCACATAACGCCGAGAACAATATGGATCAATTTAAATAATTCATATATAGACCTAGAAGCCAAAACCATTTAGTACACGGAAAAGTAAAGAAATTTTCAAGAAAACACTTTGCCTTAGATCAATGCCAGGGAGCAATTGTGGTATATGGCAACTGAATATTCGTGTTAAAGTAAGGTTACAATGTATTTAGTCATTAATCTATCAGTAATGCTTGAAAACTAGGGATTTCATTCTACACTTGTTTTCTCTGGGCAGATCTAGCGCACAATGTTCAGTGAAAGCACCAAAGCTGAAACCGTCAATGTCTAAGATCTAAAATAGAAACCACAACCAAGTGAAAAGGTACAATTGGCACAAAGAAAAAATTTCCTGAATTTTAGAAGCTGAAAAACTAAAATTTTAGCCCCAGAATGCGAGAAACCTCATTACATAGGACTAAAATTTAACATTTTTCCAGAGAAGCATGCCCTCGGAAACCTAGAAACTTCCGTTAGAAGAGAACACATTAAACAAAAATTAACAGGCCATTTTACCTTAAGAGGGCAAGAGATATGACTGTCCATCAATGGTGAAAAGTTATCTTTAATTGTCAAAGAGGAAAAGAAAAAAACACTCTGTAGCTGGCAAGTTGTGGTGAACATTTAAGCATTGTTTGTCAGTTACTTTGCGTTGCATTGACAAACCTGCATGGCCAGTCTTTTGAGTACTGCTTTCTCTTGCACACCTTTGATATCGTCTACAGCCAGACCAACCTATGGTTAACAAATAAAAACGCCAAGATTTGGTGGCTACTTATTGGAGATGGCCTCTTATGAGAGGTTCTAACTACAGAGCTTCCACTGGAAAAACTGATTTGGGGTTCCCCAATAGGTCTCTCAGGATTCGGTATTCGGGTTTTTAAAGCAACATGGCGCGATATTCGGGTTGCAAGTATTCACAGTATGGAGGATAGCAACAATAACCATCGGGGGATTACGGGATTTAGCTACAATTTGGGTTAGGATGATGGGATTGAAGAACCCTATTAGGCAACCTCTGATCAGACTATTCTGAATGGGCATCTTTTACGCGGAAAGGTCACTCACAAGAACAAAGCACGGACCGAGGTTCTACTGTTGAACTGTAAAAAGAGGGAACAAGTCTTTTCAATCAACTTTAATTGGAAACAAACGCAAAGGAATGAGTTTTTTTAAAAAATAAATGCTATCATTTCAGGGAAGAACATCAACGCTCGCCACTCCATTTTAAGGTACTTTTCCAACAGCAGTGTATTTGTCTGTACCAAACTAGGATGACGAATTTCGCATCACGTGATTACACTTCCCTTTTGCACTTAATCTCGCAACAAATGGGCCATTACCGAGTTTGCCCCAGCCTCTGTTTCAAAGCGAGGCCAAGTGTGAAGCCATTAAAACGAAAATATTTTTTTTATTATCAAGCAACAGACCTCTTTAGTTTGTATGTTTTGTCTTCGCAATACAGACCTGTCATAATACTCTAGCATGCAAGCTAAAGAGGACTATTGAAACTCATTTTCATTAGAAAGGTTTTGCACTTTGGAAGAATTTTTGGAATTTGGAAATGGTCTTTTCACCATTCAATTTGCAGGTCGTATCCTCTAGATCGTCTGCTTCTTTCCCGACAGTCACTTACCAATAAATTCATGATGATAATGCAGTTGGTGACAAGGAAGGCTACGTACAATATCCACGTGACCGGGGGCACCACGTTTTCATTGTATACTGTATCGTATTCATATTCTCCCAACATTCCCATTGTTGTCTTTAGCATGGCTCTGCCAGGAGTGGAGTACGGCACCTACAGATGGAAAACGAGCGTCTTTCAGTCTGATCAATTGAGGTTTTTAGATGACTGATTACCTACCCCTCCCCTAACTCAAAATTAATACTTACTTCTCCCTCAGGGCAAAATTGTGTCTTACAGGACGGATCACTCTGTAAGGAAGGCTGGCTTGGGACATGTCCAAGCCGCTTCGGTCAATCAATTATATGATATGTGACCTGTAACTGATGGGTGATTCTGGGAATCCTGCTTTAGAAAGGGGTATTCACATTCGAGACTTCCAAGCAAAGGGTGCAATATCTCTTAATGGCGCAAAAGATTGGAAGTTGTGGTAAAACGTTTCTAGAAATAGAGATCAAATGTTGCGTATTTTAAGGACAGGGCCTAGTTGTTCGAAACCTGGGTAACGCTTTCCACTGGATAAATCTTTATCAGTACAGAACTTATCCGCTGGATAGTTATTTATCTGGCGCCAGCTGCTCCAAAGGTGGATAGCGCTATCCACTGGATAAATCACTATCCACTGGAAAGCGCAATTAATTTCCCCAATACTTAACCGCTGAATAGCCATTTATCCGGTATAGAGCTATGTATTTTTTGAACAACCGCGGCCTGCTGGATAGTGCTATCCAACGTTTAAACAAACGGGGCCAGGGGTATTATTTTGAACACAAACACAAATGTGCAATTGGAGTTCTGGCGGGCGAGCATTCTCATTCAAACCTTACCTAGTCCCTAGGCCTCATTATTCCGCACGCCCAAATCGTTTCGGGTCACGTGGTCCAGGCGAAAATGTGAGCGTTGGCCTCGGATACGTCACCGAAGTGAATTGACCGAGAGGGACTGGGAAAATGCCGTGCAGGCACTAGGCAAGTTCAAACGTACCCAAGGCGTCTGTTCCCAGGGAGGGATCGAAGAATATTTGTTCCTTAAGTCTTCAAAAAATGTTGTGTTCAACACATGCTATTAATATTTCATTAGACAATCAGAGAACCGTTGCAACTTCTCTTCAATAATATAACGAAAGCAGATGCACAGTTTACCTGATTGTATAGTAAAATATGAAATCCTAAGCCAAAGGCCACAATAAACAGGAAACAGACTACGAAGAACTGAGCAAAAGTCTTGAATATATCTGTGAACATCACCACATAAATTCCAAGCTTGGGAAATTTGCGCATGACAAGAACAAGGCCAATCCAGGACAGGTAGACTGCGGTCGCACCTACACTGTTGTGATAAACAAAGCACCTGGAAATGTAATCAAAAATATATTTATGTTCATAGGTGCTATTTCACGTGATTTGCTACCTTTTCAAAAAGCTAAAAAATTTTTCGCATCAATGTAATTCCAAAATAATGGTCCAGTTTTATCATTTACGACTGCATTTAGGCATTGAAACTTCTTCCTGTCGTCTGTTGCTACGGATAGCAATGATGGGCATGGATTGAAACTTGATTGAATACGTTGGGTCAGCTCTTTTCACGTTTTAATACTATTAATAGACGTTTACGTTTACGCCAAGCGGCAAACGTCAGATTCAAGTTGAGAATTTCTTAGAATAGAAAATAAGCAGATAAAAACAGTCCAGAACAATTCTTATGTATAAAAGTGGCGTGAAACTACTTATTTTTTAGTTGCAGTAATAAACAGTTACCGACAATTAAGGAAAAAACTTGGTCACGTGGTACAAATTCACGTTTGCCGTTTGGCGTAAACGTGAATCTTAATCTCTAATCACCTAAAAAGTTCATATTTTAGGTGGTTCCTGATGACATTTGTTTGATATCTCCTTCATAACGCTACATGGTCATTTCGTGTTTGGTTAAAGGTAGTAAGTAAAGACTTCGAAGCACAGAATTGACCCAAAACGGCAATAACCTCGTGCCATAGCCCTTTTAAGTACACCTTTTTCTACTGCTGCAGCCAGCTATTTCTCGCTTAATTTCGCGAGTATTTTATTTCGTGATTTTTTGGATTTTTAGGGATTTTTAGGGATTTTTAGATTTCGCGAGCATTAAATTTCGCGAAATTAAGTGAGAACAAGGTAAGTCATAAAACGCAGTAAAAAGCACTTGTTCCATAAATTTTGTGAGGCAAGATCAGTTTTGAGAAAGATTTGTTACTGTGACCGGTAATGCAGCTCTTAAATATTTCAAATATCGCAAGCACTCAAAGATGGTTTGAAAGCCCTAGCTTTGGCTTGGCTATAGTAGTGAACTACATCCACACTTATCTATAATGCCTCGTGTCAAACCGTCTAGCTACCATCTTAAGAAAGAAACTTGGCTTGTTATGAACCTAAGATTTAATACTATGCGTTTTAAAAACTCTTTCATTAACCGTTTGGTTTTGAGATACGAATTAGCTTTGTAGTATACTAGATTTTAATTCTTACTTTTTATCTTTTTGCATTTTTTACTGGACGTAAAATGTCTTAATTAATTACACTTGTAATGACACTTACATATGTATTTTTATCTTTAAAAACTTTATTACCATAATTATTATTATTATTATTGGAACCAATGGCGGAATGGGAAACGAGTGTCAGCGGTTCTTAAAGCATCTCGCAGACAAGATAGCTCAGAAAGACACCGAGCCTTATCATGTTGTAATCACTTGGCTCAGGACACAGATCTCGTTTGAACTCTTAAGATCGGTACATGCATGCGTCAGAGGTTCGCGAACGCCGTACACGTTTCGTAGCAAGATAGAGCAATCATTAGACTGTGAAATAAATGTCGCTAGTGCGGATATCTGAAATACGTGTCTATATGTTTTTATACTTAGGGCTCTTTATGGACACTGGTTTAGCCGTCATTAGTATAATTCGATTGTATGATCTTAATATCTCTGCATAATGGAATTCTTTATTTTATAGAATTTTGAACTTTTATTATTAATAAAATTATATCTATTTCCTCTTCTTTTATGTAAGAATTTGTAATTGAATACTTTCTTTCTTCTGGAATTGTAGATAGTGTTTTGATGAATTAATTAGATTTTTTGTAACAGCAGGTTGATTGTAAATAGGATTTTAATTGAGGTTTTGTAATAAAGATTTATTATTTTTATTAAAAAAAATATATTATTATTATTATTATGTTGTTATTATTATTATCATAATTATTATTATTAACTTGCCTTGATCCCTCAGATATCGTAAAGCTTGTATCGTCAAGTTGCAAGTCATCCACGACGTAAACCATAGAAAAGATATAAGCTAGCAATTCAATAAGTCTATTCCATTGTAAGATAAGCCTCCACACATAGCAAAACTGAATAATCTACAAACAAAACGAACAGAAGGTAAGACTTCAGATAAATTCTCACGGATTGGGATTCTGCTGAGTTGGACTTGATGAAGAAAAGAGTGCGAGTTCATAGTCAAAACAACTTCGTGTAGCAAGCTGCAACCTGTTGTAAAAATGTTGAGACACTCCAACGAAAAACCGGCCTTTTTAAAACGCTACTTGTCACACATCTGTAAGATATAACTCTCACCCCCTCCCTCCACTACATTAAAAGCTGTTCCTACAGGATTTTAGTATGGTATAGTATTGCTAGCAACTTTGATAAGGGAGTTGTGGGGGAGTGTGGGTCACAAGCACAATATAGTCTATTGCATAGGCCATCTAAGCACCAAAAAGGTGCAGCGTCTCAAGTATTTCAATTTGCAACTGCTCCTACAGTGGCTACGAATTGCATAACAAGTCACGAGAGGGACACCACAAAGGAAACAAACAGAATGGCAAAAACATGGACTTATTAAATGAATCAAAATCAAGAAAGACGCAAAGATTCTAGTTTGGACCCAACCGTGGGTCAAGACAATGTTTACTATAAGTGCTCCTAAAACCACCTCTCTAATAACGGCCACTTGCCTCTGTTTCTAAGATGGCCGTTTTGGAGAGGTACTGGCAGACTCGTTGCGAAAATCAGCCTTTTTCACCAGGTTTAACTTGTAATATACAGCTATTTCGAGAAAGGTTGTAGGAAAACGTACACGCGACAATCCCGAAATGTATTGTGGCTGATTTTGAGTTGACTGTTCTTCAAAGAAATTGAAAGAAGAATGACACGAAAGGCCATCAATATATGTTTGCGAGTGCTAAAGGAAAGCAACAAAAATAAGTTCGACAGCTACGGTGTCAGGAACAGTGTACATGTATAATGATGATATCCCATATCACCTTTCGGGATTGTCGCGTGCACTATTTTTCCGACTATTTTTTCCTTTCTCGAATAGCTGTAGACATGTTAAAACACGATACTCAATACATTTTACATGAAGGGCATCAAGACAAAAAGTCTTGCTGTTCTACTACCTATAACTATGTAGATTACGTACCTCTAAAAATATACTAATAGACGTTGTTATAAGAATCACAGGCAGACCAATCTTTCTCCACACCACTCGGCTCCCTGTGGTTCCAGTATCAAAGGTCACATTGCACGTGCACTCACGCTCTTTGCACACAGTCATCGGTATGCTCTTGGTTGTATGCATAGCGTAGCCAGTCAGGAAAAACAGGAATATTCCATACAGGATTAACCGGCCGTAATACACATAACGGCCAAAGCTACGCCACTTATAGCGAAGTAGGTACGTTACAAGGGGATGGCTGAGTAGTTTTACACGCTCTTTTGTGACCTGAAAGAAACACATCAGCCACTCTATGATCCTTTTTTCGTAAAAGTGCTGAGAATCAGCAAGACAGTTTCTATCGAAAACTCAAACATACAGCTTGTAGGTGGTCGAATTAAAATGGCAACTGACTAAAATACAAGAACGGAATTTCAACAAATGTTTGCGCATTCCCTCCTTAAAGGAATTTCAGTAGCACACTAACGTACTTTGAATTAAAAACTCTCGTAAAAAAAGAACCGCTCCCCTGAGCAACCAGTTGGTTTTCTTTGTTAGCCTGTGAATAGAGCCGTATCCCCTCGTTCCTCACCGCTAGAGACGAAACGTGAGGAGAGGGGAATGGATTGTCGTTAGTCCGGATTCTTTGATGCACTTACCATAAGCATCAGAGGATGGTTGCTTTTTATTTCCACTTGCTTGCTGGCGTTCTCAGGTAAGGCTGACTTGATTTTATACATGACAGCATCTAAGCCACTCTCCTCATGCTCAACTGTCTCTGACGTCATAAATCCTGCCCACTCAAGACTGACGTCATCCAGGAACTCATAGCTAAGGGTGATAGCGTACTGTGGATGGTCTACAGGGTACCCATTCGACTTGACGCAGCGATTGAAGACTTTCTCTGCAACCTCTACGATACGAGAAGATAAAACCGGGAAAGAGCTTGATGCTGTGCATCAGTAAGGAATCGAAACCTTTTCGCTCAAAACCCGACTTGTAGGCAAGGCTACGAAAATGGCGCTTGATCCTTGATTTTATTATGTATAGAGTTGTGGGCGCAATCTTGAATGACGACGCAACTTGTGATTCTATTTTAAAATTCACCCGTTCATGTGACACACTTATTCAATTTTTATGCGTTCTGGCCCAGCTGATACCCACACTAAAATGGTCAAACGGATTAAGCGAAGCATTTCAGAAACAGATATAATAAGAACCTGTTTTTGAAGACGGAAATTAGCTTCTTATTGTGTGCGAATAGAAAAAGAAGCTTTTCGAGAACGCTTAGTTCAGATTAACTTGGAAGAAAATAGACGGTCGCAATCAATCGGAAAATGCCAGCATAACGCGGAGCTCTTGATGCGGTTTCTTCCAACACGAAAACCGAGGTTTCTACAAAACACATTAGTGCGCATATCAGATGAAGTACAGAGTCATTGCGATTAACTGTTTCTTGAAAATCTTAGGCTACGTGTAAACGGGGCGCAACAACTCCCAACGTTGTTGCGCCAACAATATTGGGAGTTGTTGCGTGCGTGTTGGCATTGGTGTGCAAACGGATGCAACAACTCCCAACAAGTTTGAGGCCTGCAGTGCATCGTGTGAAGAATACAACCCGTAAGTCTTTGTAATCCATGCGTAATGAGCGTGCGTGGCCCCAACAATGTTGGAGGAACTGTGCAAACGCATCCAACATTGTTGCGCTACGCTTCGGCGATCACGGAACAAAAGAAATGTTGGGAGTTGTTGGCTGAAAAGTTTGACCGGTTTCAAACTTTGCGCAACAAATCGGTTCGTCGCAGCAGTTATCTAAGGTTACCATGGCTTCAATTAAAGTTGGTGACTGTGACATTCAACCCCTTAAGCATGTTAGAAATCTTGGCACATGGTTTGATAACCATATGTCTATGAATACTCATATAGGAAAGGTGTGTAGTAAGGCTTTTAGGTGGCTTTATAATATTAGGCAAATTAGGAAATATCTGTCTGCAGAATCAACAAAGTGTTTAATTCATGCGTTTGTTACATCACTTTTAGATTATTGCAACGCTCTTTTGTATAAGCTTCAGCAATATCAATATGACCGACTTCAAAAAGTTCTTAATGCGGCGGCTCGGGTTACATGCTTAATTCCTAAGTTTGCCCATACTACTCCGGTACTTAGGGAACTTCATTGGTTGCCAGTGAAATTTAGAGTAGAATTTAAGATTGCGCTTTTAGTTTTTAAAACGTTGAACGGCCTGGCGCCACAATATTTATCTCAACTACTTGTTGTAAAGCCTAGAACTGGTTACAGCCTGCGGTCTGATTCTGAAACATTGCTTGTAATCCCTAAGGTGACACAGAAGACTTTTGGCGATCGAGCCTTTTTCCATGCTGGACCATCAGTATGGAATGCTTTGCCATCTAGCCTTAGAAACTGTAGGAACATTGACTCTTTTAAAGTACAGTTGAAGACTTATCTTTTTAAGAAAGCTTTTAATTTGTAATTTTATATTCTTTTACTATTATTATTTCTGCCATCTAGCCTTAGAAACTGTATGAACATTGACTCTTTTGAAGTGCAGTTGAATACTTATCTTTTTAAGAAAGCTTTTAATTTGTAATTTAATATTCTTATTACTATTATTATTTCTTCCCATTTATTGTATATATATATTTATGTTCTTGTACATATTGTAAAGCGCTTTAGAATATTTTAATAGTTAAAGCGCTATATTAAATGTAATAAATTATTATTATTAAATTATTATAACAACACGCAACAACATGCAACAGGGTGTGCAAACGGACGTAACACTTAACATCCAACAATGTTGCGTCTGTTTGCACGGGGCTTTAAGCATGCAAACCAGGCTTCAAAACCATTAATTAAGTCAAAAGGAATAGGAATTATAATACATATCACGATATTTTTGAGTGGAAAAACTAAAAAGGATGAAGGTAAAAGCTGCCACATTGGAACACTTACCGGGTAGCTTTTTGATAAGCTTTCTCATCGGTGTGTTAATAAAGTTTCCTTCTTTGGTCTTGTTGCGCATAGCTTGTCTCCAATCCTTGTGTTGAATAATAACAAGTGCTACTTCCCTTTGGAAAAAAAGGACGTTATATCACTATGGTTTACATGAGCTTTCTATGAGAGAGTGATAACTGCTTGAAATCGTTTCACATCTACAAACGGAAATAGATCCTCTACTCTTTTCGACTAAGGGACGGACAGTGTACGCCCCGTCCCAGAGTACTTTCTTTAAATGAAGGTATGATTATCGCAGTGGTAATTGTAATCCAAGCAATTTCAAATTAACCCGAAAAAAAAAAATCGGGACTTTAACGAGTTTCGAACCGATGGCCTCTACGATAGCGCTGCAGTGCTCTACCAATTGAGCTATGAAGACCCATACACTGGGAGCAGGCCAAATTGTTGAGTTAATCTTGTTTTTCGGGTTACCGTAAATCCTCTATTAAGCCCCCCTTTTCAGCTGAGGAAAGTTAATAAGCCCCCCCACTCCCCCCTACCCGTCTCCTCCATCGTTATACTTTACAAAAAATTAACGTGGAGCCAATTACGGAAGACTTCGTTCTTCGTCAGCTTAAGCAGCTCAAAACCAATAAAGCCATTGGCCTAGATAATATCAGTGCTCGTCTACTGAAAGATTCAGCCTCAGTAATCAGTGCCAGTCTTACTAGATTATTTAATCTTTCCCTGGAAACTCGCACCTTTCCTTCTCTTTGGAAATTTGGAAAAGTGGCAGCGTTATTCAAGAAAGGTGATCGCTGTGATGCTAACAATTACAGACCCATTACTGTGCTGCCAACGACCAGTAAAATTCTAGAAAAAGCCGTGCACACCCAACTGTACGTTTATCTTAAGAACAATGGTATCCTTACATCTAAGCAATTTGGGTTCAGACCGAAGTTATCAACTGGAACAGCCCTATCTCATTTCACAGACAATATCCTCCAGAATGTGGACGCTGGTTCCTTTACAGGTGCTGTTTTTCTGGACCTGTCTAAGGCCTTCGATACAGTGGATCATCCCCTGCTGCTGCAAAAATTGACGCACATCGGTCTTACCACCTCTACCACCCAGTGGTTTAGATCGTACCTCACAAACAGATCTCAAATTACATCAGTTGGAGATGCTCACTCTGCAGTGTTCTCACCAGGCCGCGGCCTTGCGGGATTCCCGCAAGAAAAAACTGAAATGGCGCATTAAAACCAAGAAGATGCGCCCGTTAGGGCGCAGGGGCAAGCTACGAGTCAAACGGACTTAAGTAGTTTTAATGGTCACCCTAACACTAAAGCATTCTGTTTGTCTGAATAAATAAAAAAACATGATATCAAATGAGTCAAAGTCTTTTGTTGTCTTTACTTTCATTGGTCCCACGCACGTCCCACTACATCGTAAACTCCTCCTCCGAATCGTAAACACCTCTTCCGCCATATTGGATCAGGTAGGTACTTCATGTAACAGACAATTTGGAGTGCGGGCTCAGGTTCTTCGTACCGCGTGTTTTATGTAACTTTGTCCCCCTAATGTTCTTACAGGGCCCCTGTTTCTCAGAAGAGGGGGCCCTGGGACTCCCCAAGGCAAAATCCTGGTGAGAACACTGACTCTGCATCTACCGAAATGCCTATTGGAGTACCCCAAGGCAGTATATTGGGACCTTTATTGTTTTTAATTTACGTGAATGATCTTCCGGACTGTCACCTGGCAAGCGATATTATTCTTTATGCAGACGATACTGTACTCTATTACTCATCCAAAAGCGTCAGTGATCTTGAACATCACATCAATGCTGACTTGGGGACAGTGTCTGGGTGGTTCTCTAGAAATCTCCTGACACTAAATATATCCAAATGTAATTTTGTTATCTTTGGAAGTCCTCAGAAACTGAATCGTATTCAAGGCATTTCGGTTAAAGTAGAGGGCACTAGCATGGAAAGAACACAATCATTCAAATACCTAGGCGTAACGCTTCAACAGTCTACGTCCTGGGCAGATCATGTCGATGCTATCAGCATGAAGATTAATCAGAGAATAGGCCTAATTAGGAGAATCAGGAATCTATTGCCGCTACAAGCTAGAGTTGCCTTGTACAATGCCCTAATCCTCCCTCTTTTTGATTACGGAGACGTTATATGGGGGGGACAAGAACAATGACACCATCATGTCAGAATTACAGATTCTACAGAATAAAGCTGCTAAAGTTATGCTGGGGCAACCACCCCGAAGCTCGTCAACTGAAGCACTGAAAAGTCTAGATTTGAAGTCACTGTCCACAAGAAGGTTTTTTCATCGCTGCATTGCAATCTACAAGTGTCTTATTGGAGAAACCGATTTCAACTTTAATTTTACTAAAAGTCAAGCTGTTCATTCATATAATACAAGACGCTCTAATGATATTCGCTTACCCCTACCCAGAACAAACTGGGGTAAACAAACTTTTATTTTTCACGCCGCGAAAGACTGGAACAGCCCTCCAAATGATTTAAAAGAGTGTAATATTTTATCTATTTTTAAATCCAAGTTAAAAACTTTTTAAAAAGATCTCAGCTAATTTTAAACCTTGATATTTTTTTGTATAATCGATTTTAAGATTTTAAATTTTTAAATTTGTTTTACTTGTAAACATATTCTACTTTTTTCGTAATTATTAATTAATTAGTTAGATTAATGCATGAGGGCCCCACTGAAAACCGCCTTGAAGAGTTGGGCTCCCTCTATAAATATTATTATTATTATTATTATTATTATTATTATTATTATTATTATTATTATTATTATTATTATTATTGAGGCTGGAAATTCATATTATTTTTGGTCTTCCGCCGCATGACCCCCAACTTTTCCAACTTTACGCTCTAGTTCTCTGTGGAGAGTTGTTACCATTTTCTTATCGTTAGAAAAAGCAGTATAACGCCCGGGAACTGCCACAAGTCCGTCCTCGAGAAATCTTGCTCCCGTTGATACGTTTCGCTAAACTAAATAAGCCCACCCCCACCTCCCCCCCTCTTTTACGCCTCCCCTCAAAAATGCTTGAAAAAAATAATAGAGGATTTACGGTAATTTGCAATAGTTAAAATTGCAATTACAATTACGATGATCATGTCTTCATTGAAATTTGTATTTCCGCAGTTCACCTCATCTTCAGAGTACTTTCTCTTAATCAAAGTTGGTGTGAGTACCAGGAAAACGACAAGATGAACTCGGGACTACCATAAACAAACTATATCTAACACGAAGTAAACAAACAACAACAGCAACAACAACAAAATAAATAAATAGGATAAAATTTAAGGTGATTCCCTGGTTTTGCAATGCGCATCTCTTACTGCGCATAACAAGATGGCCTCCGTAAAAAAGAGCATGTGAAGTAACATTATTAAAATGAAGTTGACCGAAGAGAAACGTTATTGCAATTTTTGCTTGCAGTTGTTTCTTGCCGAGGTGAGACTCAGTGTGGTGGAAATGTGCATAACGTAAGCAGTACGCGTGTTGCTGGGTTCGACTTCCTCACGGAGAACCTCGATAGTGGATGTTTAATTTGTGCTTATTCACTTTGATTTTCATTTAAACGCTTTCTTTATCACATTGTGTCCTAGATGTGATATCTCCATGTAAATTCTGTAAAAACGGATTTTTTACTACTTTCTTCCCCCTTTCACATACATTCTATTTTGAAACTCGCCCCAGTCCTCTCTCAAAAATCAAGGAAAAGCATTTGGTGCGCACTTTCTGCAGCTCTACCGCAAAAACGAGTACGGTGACCCCATTTTTTATTTCATGATTTTAATAAGGACAGTGCTTCCTTTCGGTGAGAAAAAAATTGGCACAAATCTATGTTCAGTTTTTTGGCAATTTTACTAAATTGTACGGATTGAGCTATCACGTGTCGAATAGCGCGTGTCCAATTTAATTCTACTTTGGAGCGTAAAGTAAAAACAAGGGCATTAAAAGGCATTTTTCTGGTACGTAAGTGGATAAACAATACATTAAAGTCAAATTCTGTGCGATACCACATGCATCATTGAAAAAATCTTTCCTTTTTGTCTAGTTTTGGGCTGCGCGCGGTTTTTGTCAAAGGGTCCAAAATAGCCGTATTTGTCAGCATTGTGACGTCAAAACGAGCACGGTGACCCCCAATTTTTATTACTTTTTTATCATCTTCTTGACTTGTTACGTCAGTGTATCAAGTTTTATCTACAATCTATGTTAGGTTCTTTTACTAGGGAATCACCTTAAGAAATGCGAAGCAAAGGCGCTGGGCCATAACTTTTGGATCTAAAGGTCGCTGTTTCAAAGTGTTTACAAATCCTTGAGGCATTTGCTTCTTGAATTTTTCTTAGCCTGTATTTAAGTACTTACTTGTGATTATTTTCAACGGCCATATCGAGACAATTTCTTCCAGCACTGTCCGTCAATGTAATGTTAGCTTTCCTTGACAAAAGTAGTTTTACCATCTCCACGTGGCCTTCACGTGCAGCAAGGTGAAGTGGGGTAGTCTGAAAAAAAAGGAAGACTTAAGAGACAGGCTGGCCAGAGTTGCCGAGTAGGGTGACTTTCATCGTAGTATTACGCCATTTCGATACCGGGATCCCAGCTAACCGGGCCAGTTTAGTTGTCATGTAAACACAAAGCTGATTTTCGTTGCGTTTAACAAACATGCCGCGATTCAAGACTCACAATCGAAGTTTCATCATTTCCTTTTTATTCTCCATTAGTTATAAGGGCGTTGCCCTTTGCAAGTAATCTTATTCAACAAGTGTTGAATCTCAAGTGTGAACCTCATTCCCAGGGTTCTCTCCGGCGGGTAGGAGAGAACCCTGGGAGCGAGGTTACATGTTCCTTTTACCTTGGCTTTATCAGTAGGATCCACAGGACAGTCAGCATCAAGAAGAACAGTGGCTGCATCCACCCAGCCCTTTGCTGCCGCACAATCCAACGGCGTCCATAAGTTGGCATTCCTGTGCACAAAGATCCGTTAGAAGTATTGACTACGAACTTTCGTAGGATGTCGATTTATAGCTTCGGATATTTAGAGAAAGCGATTGCACAGCTTGTATGACCTTGGGAAAAATCCGGTCAAGGAAAGTGCCTGGCTAATGATCTTTAATAATCAAATTGTGTTTATTGGCAAAATAACGACTAGATTTGCTGCGTAGCTGGCAGTTTTCTTTGTCGAGCGCGCAAGTGAGCGGCCAAGCTGTGCGCGCGCTTTCGCAGCGTTTTTTTCCCTCTCGCCAAACAAACTGCCAGCTCCGCAGGCTACGTGATTTGTATCACTGTCCCTTTTATGCGTTTTTGTTAACAGTTACTCTGCTTAGTTCGATAATTACGGATTGGACAGCTAGGATAGAAAAACTTCACCACTTCTACCTTCGGCTCTGGGCCTAAAAACACACAACATGCTTTTCCGTTAAGAAATAATTTTAATTTTAAGGGTGCTTTTGGTGGAGTTATTCAGTGAAAGGATTTTTCGTCCGTAGCAAAAAATAAGTAACCTCCGGGGTAAAGTCATGATCTTCTTCTCACCTTGCATCGATAGCAGCTCCTCTATCAAGCAATTCTTTAGCGACTTTGTCATTGCCATTTAGTGCAGCTACATGTAGCGGAGTGTTGGAAGCATCATCTTCGTCATTTATTATGGACATATCCCTCTTCAGAAGAGCACAAACTGTTCTGTAAAATGGCCACAAGTTAATATATAATTATGAGACCAGCTCGACTGTTTAATAGAGACCATAAGATACAGAAGCGTTTCCGTGTGCGGGTACGGGTACGGGTACGGGTACGGGTACGGGTACGGGTAAATAACCTGTACGCGCAGCGGTGAATACGGGTAGATTGCCTCTTACCCCGCGGAGAAACGGGTAGGCTACCGGGTAGAATGGTTGATGCCACTATCATCTCTGGGAAATCATGGTCACCTGTTGTATAACTACGTTTAACGTGGCAAACATGTTCTTCTGTCCGTACCCGTGGAGAGAAACGGTGTATCTTTATAAGGTCACTAATGCCCTCTATTTTCCTGTAAAGTCGTCGCGCTAAGAAATCATGGTCACCTTTTGTATAACTACGTAGCAAACAGTTTTGTCAACCCATACCAGTAGAGAGGAAAGGTGTATCCTAAGCCCACTAACTTCCTCTATTTTCCTTTTAAAAACGTCGAGCTTGAGCGCTTACTCTAACGGGCCACCATATTTGGTTCAAACAACCCGTGGGGATAGCCGGTGAAGAAGTGTATAGCCTCTCCGTTTTAATGATCTCTTACGCGGAAACAAGGGAAAGTAATCAGACTAGTGAGCGGGGCCTTTAGGCTGTGTTTCGTCAGTATCTACTACTAAATTTAGCGCTTTGCCCTGAGAAGCCTGTAATTTGTCACTAGGAGAACCAGGATCAAATTTTTAAAACTTATGATCCGTGCGCCTTTTTAGGCACGGATCTGATTTATGAGGCCCTCAACATTCCGTCTAGCAGAAGGGCTAAAGCGAACACAAGGAAGCTGAGTAGAGAGTGCTTTCTCGTTAAATTTCTAGACTGAATATGACGCCAACTGCCAGTGTTACCTTATCCGCCCAAATTTGGCCGCCAAGTGGAGTGGCGTTAGGGATCCATCGTTTTTACAGTCAATGCAACACCCATTGTCCAGAAGAAGCTAAAAGAAAATAAAAAAATGAACCACTTAGAACCAAGCGCCACTGGATGAGCAACTGGCCTAGCACTCCATGAGTCTACGTACATGTACACCTTACTACGCCTACAGTCTTCACCTTACGCTCTTCGGCGAACACATAATCTGAAATCTTATTCTGATTCTTACCGTTTGTAAAAGTAATAAAGGTTGCATGTATGTCTGTTTGGCCTCCATTGCCGGTCGCAATTATAAGTTCCTAGCTTTTGAAGATAATTTTGGTACGGCCCTGACGTCGGAAAGAAAGCATTACCTTCCTTGTCCCCAATTAAAGGAAAAAAGCCTTGTGCAGTAGTTGGAACTTTACCTGCGTAGCAGGAGCTGTTTCTTTTTTAAGGCAAAAAGGACCAATATCGAGGACGCGAGCTCTATTAACCACTTTGAGGTTGCGCTGGAGACTGGGTCGAGATGGTTGTCAAAGTGCATTGTGGGACGAATTTGCCGCCATGTTGAAAATGCGTTTCTTAAAACAGTCCCACAATGCACTTTGAAACAATCTCAACTCGGCCTCCCGTGCAACCTCAAAGTGGCTATTTAAGAATAAGTCGCCGAAGGCGACGTGAATATCGGCGAAGAGTCACCGAGACGAAGTCGAGGTGACTATTCGCCGATATTCATGTCGCCCGAGGCGACTAATTGTTTTAGTATAATAATGCAGTGGTGATTATTCGAGAAAATAAAATTATTGATCAATTTCCGACTCCGAAACATCATTAAATCTGGCTGCCATTTTAAAAACTGCTGGCGTTCAATGCTTTAATCACCGCGCCGTGATTATAGCGGGATGAAGCGAAGCTCCTTGCGAATCATAGCGCTCTATTTTCGATAATCATCAATGGAATTATACTAATATAAAATAGCGCGCTTGCATTCCCTATATAAGTCCTATTGAGCCGCTACGAAAAAAATCTTTATTTACGCACGCTCGTGCGTAAATAATGATTTTTTTTCATGATGACGTGTTCAGCTGTGTCAGTTTTTCGTCTCTTTATCCTAAGTACCAAGTATCCTTTACAAAACAAGTTACTTATGAAGTAAGCTCAAAGTAGCGAAAAATTATGCACTTTTGTTATCGCCGAACAATCCTACTGAAGCAGGAAATTTTTCTTGCAATAACAAGACAAATTACACAAGAAGACATAAATTTATTACTCACAAATTGTTGCCAGGTCTTCTCAAGAAGCCGTAACGACCAGCCATTGTTCGTAAATGAATATAAAGAAGGATGACAGTCGTCTTCGCTAAAAACAAGTTTTCTGGATTTCGCCGAGCAAAACATAAACATCTTTTCAGCGAATCCAAACCATACTCCACGAATTCTTACGAACATGTGAGTATTTTTAACTATAGGTGGACTTTAAGACTCTTTTACCTTTGTTTCTGCTTAGTTTCCATTGATCGTTAAGGAATAAAAAAGCAAATTTTCTTTCTCAGTTTTACAGAAAGAATTTTCTTTCAAAGTCGAGGATTGTGGTGTGTTTGTAACCAGCCAATAGAAGCGTTTATTTTTCTGTGTCGCGCGTTACGAGAATTTTGCAGTTAATCAAAAAGCAAGCAATTTTGGCAGCTATGTTATAAAAGAACTTGCTCATGCTTTTAGCTGTGCGTATATCGAGTTATGGGTGCACTTGGGAAGTATAGAGAGCACTCAAGAAGCTAGAGTTGCTCTCGGCTGTGCCTCAAGCAACTCTTACGCATCTTTCGTGCTCTCCAAACTTCCCGCGTGCATCCATAACTCGATATACGCACGCTAAGCATGAACAAATTCTAAAATTAAAAATAACCTTAAAAACTAACCGGTGCCTGCCACGCAAGCTATTAGTGGTGTCTGTAAAACCAGGAACAGGCCCGGAACACCCCAGAACACCCAGGAACACTTCCGGAACATCCCCGAAACATGATTTTTTAGATTTCTTTGGGGGATCTTCTAATTTTTTTGCCTACTTTTTGTAATTGAGGGTGTTCGGGGCGGTCTGGCCCGTCAGGGGGGTGTTCCGCAGTATTCCGGGATGATCCGGGGTGTTACGGGGAGTTTTAGGCCTGTTGCGGCTTTCACTGACACCCTGCTATAAGAACTTACTTGGACAATTCTAACATATCCTTTTTTGGCTGCAACATGTAGTGGAGTGTTCTCATACTTGTCATACTCCTCGACAAGTGACCTGCCTTTGCCAGATTTAAGAAGAAACTGAAGGACAAAAGAAAAAAGAAACCGAGCGGCAGAGATAAAGAGGTGAGAAAAGGAATTAGCAGGGACTGTGGTGCTGCGTAATATCCGTAAGCCGGGGCAGTTTTGGTAAATTTCGTAACAGCTCAAGTCTGGGGTTCTTGTAGACTAAGATAGAGCGAACGAAACACGAGCGCGCGTGAATTCACCCCACGCGAGAAAGGCGAGACGCGGCGATGAGAGAGACAGAGAGCAAAATGGCCTTTCTCGCGTGTGGTGCCGGATTTTCACGCGCGCTCGTGTGTCACTTGCTCTACTATCCCTGAGGGAAAATGAGGGACGACCCGTAGTCTAGGCCTCGTGGGGCCACTTTGCTTTTCTAGGCGCCTTCTTGAATTGTATTCCGACCAAACAAAACAAATTAGTGCACAACTATCCCCCGACGAGGAGGTGAATATTGGTGGTGGTATATTTAGCGCTATGAACCGACACTGAGGGGAATAGTTGTTTTAGTCTTTACCAAATCAGTTGGATAAAAATCAAAACGGAACTTTTTGTAAATAAAAGACGTCACTTAGTTAGAGTTTGTTTACGTTTCAGTTGACTCGGCGATCATTTTTTATGATTTTGTTGCAAAAAAAAAAATTATAACGACCAGTAAACACCGACAAGGCAAATTTTGTCTGTTTCTTGGTATTTGTTGGTGCAGCTGCTTCATTTACCGCTAACATTTCATCCTTCGAAACTGCCGCGAAACGAGAAGCCATTTTGAATCCCGTCCCAAAACAGTGAATATCCAAGGATATTCCTAGTTACAGGAGCCAATCAGAAAGCGCAAAAATTGCTATCCACTGATTTGGTGAACACTAATAATAAATACCTAGTGTATGCATACCTCAAGAGTCTCAATGCAACCTTCAGCTGCGGCCCGATATATGGGTGTGGCATCATCAATATCCTTTGCGCTGATATCAGCACCGTGAGCCAAAAGGCTTTTGACTGTCTCTAGGTGATTCTTAGATGCTGCTATAAGCAAAGGACTGTCTTTGTCCTTATCTCGACACTCAATGTACGCACCTCTAAAAATGAAAGGATTAGAGATTAACATAGTTGGTTAGTGCATGGCCTTCTGTGAGGCTTTTCAGCTCGTAAAAACCGGGATATAAGGACTGCCTTTAAACACATTCCTCAATTTTCGGTTGGAATTTCAGGAAAATGATCTAACCACTAACCTTCCGTCCGAAAGTTTCGAAGTTTTGGTTAAATGGTAACATAAGCAACCTAACACTTCCAATTTCCACTAGGATAATGAGTGGTCCACGAAACCCACGACGTGGGTGTGCTACCTGCGTACCAAGTAGGCAAGTGAGATAGGAAAGAAAAAAGCACCTACAGTAAAATAATGGTAATTTTCACACCAGCAGACGGAAAAATCCTCTGCACACGGACAAGTCGTCCACCCTTGTTGTTCGCCAGGCGTGAATTTACGTCGGATTTTGGACGACTTGTATGTCTATACAAACAAATTGACTAGGGAAAATCAGTCATCTTTATAGACGAACAAATCGGACGACGTTGCACGTGCAACATGTTTTCCTTCCGTTTTCAGTTTTTGGCCCATCTACTTGTACACAGGAAAGACATCCAACTATACGTCAGCCTCCAGCTTGTAATGAGATGAATTCGATTCATTCTCACGTTTTTAAATGCTTAAATTAAAACCAGGGTCCAGTTGTTTGAAGGCCGATTAGCGCTAACCCAAGGTTGTTCAAAAGCATTTCTCGGATAACATTCTCCATTCTTTTTAGAGCATCCAATCATCAAACTGTATACAAAAAGATTGATATTGAATTTGCTTTTTAAGCTTTCACCACTGCCGGAATTCAAATTTCGCACTAACCCAGGGTTCAGTATTTTAACCCAGCTTTGAACAACCAGGGTTTTCAATAAGATTTTAAGTAGGTGGCAAAAGCTTTGGAGTAGATGGAGAAGGAAAAACCTCGCGGCGAAGGCGTGACTTGCAAGCACTGAAGGTGCGAATGAGTTTCTGGAAAAATTTTGAAATCTGCGCCTTTTAGAACGCATTTTCAGCAGTCTGGAGCAAAAATTAAGAGTGTTTAAACAGATCACAGACATTATTACATTTTGGCTTTTTTTCAGTGTCCGCACATGAATACTCTTTTTAAACTGGGGTTATTTCCAAAGAAAAGTAGGTGGCGAGTTCACGTGAAATGGGCGACGAATTTCGCCAGCCACCGGCTCATATGAGCTTAAGCAACTACCACGACGACCACAACGACGACTTCCACAAAACAATAGGTTTAAGTGATGTTACACGAAACGATTCGCAACGACGATTTTTAGCGCAAGAAAACGTTGCAATATTGGAACAATGTTGCAACCATTCGAAACAATGTCGCAACAATGATGCAACGTTGTGTTGCGCTAAAAATCGTCGTTGCGAATCGTCCCGTGTAACATCACCTTAATGATCAAAACAACAGCTCTGCACGTGCATCACGCTTTTTAGTAGATTTCTTTGACGTCCACGACTACGACGTCAAACCTTCTAATTTGACGTTTTAAGGAGGACGTGGACATACGACGACGAATTTTCCTTCCTCTTTTTGAACCTAAGTAAAATCCTTAAGAATTCAACTCCAGGAAAAGTCGCCTAAATTTGACATATTGAGCGGGTCCAAATAGATGCGATTAAGTTTGAAAGAACGTAAATTCATTTTTTTACCGACGTTTTCACTGCCGTCGTTGTCGTCCTTGCTTAAGGTCCCTATATTGAAAACCGTGAACAACCCGGCCATGTAAATGTAAAACGCATTTTAATCAGCACTGCTAAAGCTTGTTTCAAAGTGCTTTTTCTATTGCGGTTATAAACCCCTCCGTTCTTATAAACCCTCCGGCTTAAACTCCTTACAAAGATGGATAACCCTAGGGCATATAAGCAGCAGTTCACAGAAGTCCACCATTCAGACGGTTTAGAGTGTCTGCACCTTTTAACAGGCTACCGTCTGAGACAACTTGTCAGTCTTCTAGAGTGAACGCTGCTAATAGCTTACCTGCTTAGGAGATAGTCAACAATCTCTACCCTGTTAAACTGAGCTGCTCTGTGCAGTGGTGTTTCTTGACTGGCATTCTTTGCTTCTATATTGGCATCATGTTCTATTAACATCTTGACAATGTCCAAATCTCCGCCATTGGCCGCCAGATGCAATGGAGTGCTCATGTTAACCTTGTGTGCATTAACGTTTGCTCCTTAGTCCAGACAGAGCTTTGCCAGGTTAATATCACCATCCTCAACTGCAAGGTGAAGGGGTGTTTGTTCTTCTCGATCTTGGTCTGTTACCATTTTGGACACTATGGACCATCCACCTTGCTCTTCAGCTAAGTACAGAAGAATGTAATAATAATGATAATGATAATCAAATGATGATTACGATGATTATGATAATAATAATAATAATGATAATGATAATAATAATGATAATACTAATAATCATCATAATAATAATGATAATGATTATAATAATGAAAATAATGATGATGAGGACAAAGATGATGATGATGATGATGATGGCGATGACACTGACGATCATGATGATGATAATAATAATTTTAATTATAAAAAGAAAGTAATACAGCAGACCACCTGTCCAAAAGACTAAACTTTACCACGTCAGAGCCCTATGGTTAAAATCTCTTGTAAAAGACCACCTCTTGTAAGTGTTTGTGAACACTTTGTGCTTTTGGGAATGCTGATTCTAGAGTTTTTTCAATTCTAATTACAGTAATGTGCAAATTGATTTCCCTTAGTAAAAGCTGCCCTCTTTCTCCCTTGTGGATCCTAAAGCAACACCCGGAGTTCCTTAATAGCTACACACCTGTTTCAAACAACAGCTTGGCGACTTCAAGACTTCCTTCCATACAAGCAAAATGCATAGGTGTCATTTGTTCCTCATCTAAGCTTCTTAAGTTAGCTCCTGCATCAATGAGGCATTTGGCAACAGAAAAGGAACCCTGGCTGGATGCCACATGCAAAGGAGTCATCTGAGTTTTATCCTTGGCCTGAAATATTTAAACACCATATAATTTATGTAACTCAACCACTGGAGCTCGCAAAATTTGGAAGATGCTTATGTTATACTATTTTTCATGTCCGACACTAAAGTTAATGGCAATTTACGTCATGCAAGACAGCTAACTTGCCAGCAACCTGGCAAGTTAGATGTTTTGGTACAGTTCAAAGCCATGTGTGAAGTTGAAAATGCTGAATCACTGATCTGTTTTGAATAAAACCTAAACAGTTAGTATTGAATTCAGCCATTGCATGATTAATTGCAGAGTTGTTTAAAACTCTGATTGGATGGTACCGTGCTATCTACCATATAGCAGAGATAATACCTTCCTCAAACTGTATAATTCTTCAAATCGTATGAAAGCCAAATTCAATAATATTGTAAATTATTCTCCAAGCACATTTCTCTGCCTCAAGCTTCTGTGCTGTTTGCAGATGCCATTTTACAATAGCGACTACTATAACCAGGCCCGCCTAGTCAAAGTTGACCAATCGGATTACAGGAAAATTACAATACATTTCGAGAAAGTTAGTTGCCAGTCATTACTACCATGAAACGAAAGAAACAACATGGAGTGAAATCAACCAGTTACAATCTACAGACGTGACCTTTTGAACCTGCTGAAGAAAGCAAGTGTTTCCTGAGAAGTCTGTTAGAAAGAGTGACGGAGGCGAGAAATGTAAACGATAATTTTTGACTTGTGGTCGCAAGTTATTGCAAAGCACATCAATAGTGGTGAAAAAATTGCTGGTAGATGACAAAATAACTTACAGCTTCTGTCAAAGAAATATGTCTCCTGGGTGTTGTATGCAAAGTTTTGAACAGAAAAATATTGTCTGGTGAAACATTTTGCATTCCTGAAAAATGTTTGCTATCAATATTAAACTTTCTACTTTGAGTAACTGATTGTTTTTTATGAGCTGTTGATTGGCCCACAACCAAATTTCTTGGAATGTACTGTTATTTTCCTGTGAATCCGATTGGTTAACTTTGTCTAATTGGTCCCAGTTACAGTAGTCGCACTGCAAAAGATCTTTTTTTTAATTACCTCAATATCAATACATGGATCAGTCAACAGTTCTCGAACAGCATCAGGGTTCCCCTTTGCAACAGCATAATGCAGCGGAGTTGAACCATAACTGTCCTTGGCATTTACATTAGCTTTTCTAGACAAAAGGTACAATATCATAGTCTCCCCAACATTAGATGCCTGCTCTTTTGGTATGAAAGAATTAGAATTTCTTTTCTCCAATGATAAGAAATCCTTGCTGAATAGTTTAGTTCCTAATGATGAGCCTAGAAGGCGACTTTTTGCCCCCTTCCCAAAACTGCCTGATCCCCCATCTTTTTTCTTATCATCCTTCTTTAGAGTCAAGCCAACATCACTCATGTTTTCCATGCTAGGACTTGGGGTCACTTGAGGTGTTGGGCGTGCAGAGCCATTATAGGTTCTTGGGACTGGACGAAATCTAGCAGCATAGTGAAGGGGCGTGGCATCATCTTCTCCTTTTGCTTCAATGTCTATAAGTTTAAAAAAGGAACTTGAACAGGTTAAAGTTATTTTAATCTAGTTTAATTTTCAACTTCCTTAACTGTTCTTAATCATGAAATATAATTATAACGGCAAGGAAAACATAGTAAACATATCACACTTCACACATCACATTAAGTACTTTGTATTACATGTACAGTGTGCCATATACGCATACCTGCACCAGATTCCAGTAACAGCTTGACAATGTGAAGGTGATTGTAACGCACAGCATAATGCAATGCAGTTGTGTTGTCCTGGTCTTTCTTATTGATTTTCTTGCTTCCCTTTCCTAACTTTTCCAGTCTTCTCTCAACAAGGTCACGCTTTCCATCTCTTGCTGCCTGTTACACAAAAAGTTATTTGTCTTCAATTTAGAAGCAGATTGAATAACTTCAATGTTGGTAAGAACAGTAATTATCACAAAAGAACACACCATTAGATAAGGCAAGACAACCCATCCCTTTCTCAAGACATTTGCAGTGCTAGAAGCATGTTCATATTTATATTCAGAGGTAATCAGGGTCAACTTAAGCTTAATAAGGCCATGCAAATCGAATCTGGGTAGCCATTGTAGGTAATAGTTTAATTAATTATTATCCAATTGAGGAATTACAAAGTGGTACAAATAAACAGGCTTTGGTGTGGCTTCTTTCTTCCTTAGCTGGAATAAGAACAGCACGCAAATAACATTCTCAAACTCATCAACAGTTCATAAAGAAAATACAAAGAAATTTAATGACTAATGAGTGTTTGGAAATCAGAAGAAAAACTGCTCATTTCTGCATCCTTAATTTCTCCTTCTAAAATCATTTTGTTTGAGAAGTGATATCAAGCATTCGACACAGTGTTTCATCAACAGATGAAGCACCTTGAAGTTCGTCAAAAATACTCTGCTGCGCACATGTCGTATTTCTAACTCTTCTTGGTGTTTCATCTGCTGATGAAACACTGTGTCTAATGCTTGATATATGGCAACTTTGTGACAGATATGACAAAGAGGATGACTTTTCAGAGGGGGAAGGAGAATGTGGTTACATATTCAAGCTTCAGTATTACATTGGCATTGCTAACGACAGCACAGTAAACAAATAATTTAATGATATAAGGTAAACATCAATAGTTACAAATTTTTTTTCTGAAACAGAAAAACTAATCCCAATGATTGTTTCCACCCTTTGTGGTTGGTTTAGTTCTTCTGCTTCTGCTCACCACTTGAAAGCCTAGTCCTAATTGGTACGTAGCGGAGTTGTAAGTGGAATCAGACAGCTGTTTTCACTAGAGCATAATGATCTAATCTCTTATTATATATTCAGACTCTGACTCAGTTATTTGTGAAAACAAGCCTTCAGAAAAATATATGGATCAATATCACCTGTCCTGAAACCTCAACTTTTTGTGCTTTTCTATGAAGAATGTTTCTTTGTTTTTACCGCAAAGCAAAAATAAAATGGAAACTGAAATCTTCAGGGTCACAAGAAAATAATGTAGGTGATTCGCTTACACAAATATTTCCCCAGTACAATAAGATGCAAAAATGATTGGTTAAAAACTATTTGCAAATATGGAATGTAGCTAAACAATCCATGGAAATCTGGATTAACTGACTAATTTGGGCCAACCGAAAAAAGGCCATTGCAGCAAAGAATGGGCTTGTTTATTTTTGGGTAAAACAAATGTAGCCCTATAAGAAGCTTTTGAATATTAATGACAGCTCTCTTTTGTGCAAATACTCTTAAATTATTTATTGAGACATCACCCATAAAGGAAGTAAATGTTGGAATTACCAACGGCTATTGTTCAAGTGAAAAGGTCTGAAAAGTTATAAATATTCAGTGCAACGTCATCACATTAAAGCTTAGAGACATGATAATTTTTTCATTTTTTGTATTCATGGGTATAATAATTTCAATCTTAAAACCTACAGTTATTGGAGAACATGATAAACGAAGTTACAGAGTGATCCGGCAAAACTGACACTTCAGAAATCATTAATTTGATTATCGCAGCTGCACATTAATAATATTATTTTGCACCCGCGAGCGCTGGCGAATTTTCCCAATTTATATAGATAAACAACACAATATTTAAAATATGGTTAGTTCGAAAATAAAACAATGACAGTATAAACCGGCCTAACGTTTTTCAAGAGGAATGAAAACCTCCTGTCTAATGTGAAATGATGTCATGTGCTTTTTCTGTTATTGAGCTTTGAGTCTAGAACGCGTGAAATAACCAGATAGTCACATGAAATTAACCGAGTTTATGAGCTATTTAGTCGCGTAAACTTAATGCGTCTAATTTGGTTAAATTACTTAAAGCTCAATCACCTGATGAAGAGATACTGTAGCATTTTCGACACTTTCCCTCTCTAATCCCATCAGATTTTTTGACGATCGCGAAGTTAGAATACACACTGAAGGCATCGAAGAGTGCAGCGCGCTTGAGCTATCCTTGTCACTCTTTCGCGACTTCATCCCAAGTAGCGGCGTTAGCAAAATATTTCCTGCTCCAGCCTCCTTTTTCAGCGACATTATTAGGTTTTCAAGAATCGCTGACCACGAGGAAGGGCCTATTTCGTTGCAATTCACATTTTTTCCCACCGGCAACCCAGCACGCAGCTTTTACGCATTCATCCTCCATGTTTACTATCACAACCGATAACCCCTGGAAACTACCAACGCTTCTAGTCCCCAGGCCTTTGAGGTGGTTCGTCTTTGGTGTAAATTTGGCGGACATTTTGGAATTTTGTTTTTGTGTTTTTCTTCTAAACAGAATGTCTTTACAACGAAATTGCGTGCTAAAGGACATGAAGAAAATTGTGAGAAGATGATAGAGTCGTAAAAAAATGAGTTCCCCTATTTCTAGCCTGAAGAAAGGCAAAAGAAACCCTCTGGATCCAAGGTAACCATTTGTAAACATAAAACTTCGAAACGTTTCATTGAATTTTAAAATCATGAGCTTATTATTAATACTGTCCAATAACTTACTGTTTTGTGAATACTAGAAAAAAACAATGTTATTTTGTTTTTTTACTATACGTAGTTACCTGTGTGCATGTTTTTTCATGTTATTTTACCATCTTGTTACTTTAAGTGCTACAACGATCAAATTTGCCTTGGGAATCTGTTTTTCATTATAAAGCTTAGTCTTACGTATTTCGAAATTATATGCAAGAGGCTAGTAACTCTCTGTGCCAAGCTAAAATTTGTTTTGGCTGTCTTACCTGGCTGAAAAATCCACAGATAAGATTGCCACTGAAATTTCTTTTGCTTGATCTTTATTTGGCTCATTCATCCAGAGTTTAAGCTTAGTTTGGTCATACGTGTATTTGCTTGTTCAGAAAAGCTTATGCAAGTTATGCAGTACATACTAGTCAGTCATGTCTCATAGTGTACAGCCATTATACTACTAGCAATTCAGCTGGTGATCAGTCAATCTCTTCTATCTCCCGATAAAGACAAACAGTGAGCTATTAAAGTTACAAAAAAATAAATTGCAATCCACAACACCATACCATAACAGTACTGTTGTAACACAACATACATTTTGTAAAGGAATTTGGCTTTTGTTACTTTTAGGGGACCATTGCTCTATGGAGGAAAGGTATAAGGTGTTTGAGCAAAATGATAAGATTGATACGATGAATAATGTCGTATGTTTTTTGTATTTTAGACTAGTTACCGAAGATTCAAGCTAGAATAATACAGAAAATAACCAAAAAGTCTCATTCTACATTCTACAGTAATATTGTATACATTTGTCTCGTTGTTGCCTAAACTCGTCATTTTGCATTGCTTGCACACTTTATATTTATTTGTTTTTGTCTTTGTTATGGAGAAACAGTCCCCTTAAAGTAACAAAAGCCGCCAACTTTGCCGTCATTCAAACCATGATGAGTACAGTGCAGGTAGTATCATTTCAACTTTCAAATTTGTCTGCAAATAACTGCATGCCTACAGTCATTGCTCATACTGAGTTGAGGAAAGTTTGGTATTTGGTAAATTTGGTTTTCAGAGCTGTGCTCATGTGCAGTTTCCCCTAAGTTGTGTTTGGATGACAAGGGCACTCCATGTTTATCCCAAGAAATTACACATAAACAAATTAAAAGAAGAATAACAGTTGACTTGTATTTAAAAACAGGACATGTTTAAGAGAAATATTGTGATTTGCTATAGTTTTTCAAGGTTTGATCAATTTGAGGCAAATTAGATTTTCATTTTTGATTTGCTTACCATAGGAAATTCATGGTTTATTAGGTTGACCAACTCTATAGTTATGTAATATTAACTGTCTATTGTTTTTAGGCAAGCTCAAGTCCCATTTAGGAATCAAGGAAACATTCCAGGTACATGTGCTAGTTATGCCTGCCATAATTTACACCATTGCACGATCATGCAATAGATAAAAAGCAGTTAAATCGTTGCTTATTCAGTTCTTAATGAAAAATAATCAATAGAGAAATAATAAGTATTGCTTATTTTAGTAAATCATATTCCACTCATCCTTGTTGGATTATTATCTTGATCAAGATAAAAAAATAGACTTGGACCCATGGCAAGGGGTTTCGTTTCAGACCAGGAATGAGATGCAACGTCCGGTTGTTTGCCATGTAACATAATTATGGTAGTTCACGCACGAAAACAATTAATAATTATTATTTAAAATTATTTTTTTAAAGACCTTCCTGGTAAACCAATTTCGGTCCAAGGAACACCGGAAATTGCATTTTAGAAATTAAAGTCTAATTGTAAAAATTTCACGCCTCCTCAACCCTCAACATTTGTGCCTGTGGCATGAACGGTGTCAGTCTGCCAGTTCTCTGCATCCGGTTACTTCCAAATGCTACCGTCAACTGAAAACCCCGCATGGCACCAACTTAATCTTTGTCTTTCTGTGATCTTCTAGATGACATTTCTGGTTCTTTGTTGAAGAACAATGGCATGGCAAAATTACCCAAGTCTTCAAGCTCAACTTACGGTAAGAGTGGAATAATGTCGTAGGGAGGAGAGATTACAGAGTGAACTTGGTCCTTTTTTTAGTACTGTAATATTATGCATGACTAAAGGATTTGAAAAGTCAAGAAAAAAACATTCCAGTAATTGCGCAGGAGGCAAGTGTGACCAAGCAATTAAAATGCCAGACTTTCATTGTCATCTGATCCCAAGGCCTCATGTTGTAATTCCCATTGATTGCCAGCTGCTGGATTCATTGTTTCACCACAGCCCTCAGTTCAAATCTGTCAAGCTGATCTTATAAATAGCCTACTGGTTCAATGCTTCTGTTGCTAGGATTTGTTCATGTAACCTTGTTACATCTTAGTTTGAGTTTTTTTTATAAAATATGGTTCAGGGGAAATAAATAATAATAATTGCTATTATTGTTTAATTATTATGTTTTAACAAAGCCATTTTCTGGTTACTGTCTAGCTATTATTGAGCTAAAACCTACCAATGAAAAGCCTTTTGCATGTTGTGCACTTTGTGGCCTTAGTTCTGTTCCAGTAGCAAACTATCAGCTTGGAGAACTGAAGTTTGAGAATGCGCAGAAGGAGAGCTTTTTCTCCTCTCCTCTCCTGTTGCTTTTCCTGCCCCATCTTTTTCTTTTGCTGGGCATTTACTAGGAAGGCTTCACTTTGGTGGCAAAAGTTTTTGGGAAAAGTTTTTTGATCGTATAGGATTAGATGTAAGGAAGTGTGGGTTGTGGTAGGTAGTGGAACAAGATTTTCATCTAAATTTTCAGGTCAACTTTGCATGGTTTTCTCTTTGCCATTTTGTCTGTCCCCTTGACTGAATCATGCTCATTTTGGTGTAGTTTGAAAGATCTCTTCCTCCTGCACAAAGTACTGACAAATTTGTCCTTGACCATTAAAACTGATGACCACACATGGGATACATAGGATGTGGTGGTTTTGGGCGGTTCAGGAGCGAATGGGTTAGACTCTTGGTCAAAGAATGGGCATTCACAGTGATCATTATTAATAGTACCCACAGATCATGAACTTCTTGGCAGTATGATGTCTCGTTTAGCTCAAGCAGAACAGCAGCTAAAAGCTGCTCAGACACAGCTACTTGAAAAGGTAAAAAAAAAACCATTGTAAATATTTATTATAGTACTGTAAATAATTATGATGTGGTAAAGTATAATTTAAGTTACGTTAAATGCAAAACACTGCTGGTCAGTGGCCTCCCCTGTTGCAGGCGTGCAGAGTGGTCGGTAGGTTTGCAGGTGGTGACGTGGTTTTACAGCTCGGCTGTTGAGGTCAAGCTCTGCTCTTGTGTGCTTGGCCCGTTCCGACTGTGCTCGGCGACCTCACTCCCTGCCCCCCCTCCCTCTCTGTGGTAAGTGTTAGGTAAGCATCATTTTGCACTTTTTTTGGGTGTGACGATTCCTTGTGGTTGCCGCTCATGTGCAGGGTTGTCATGCTTACCTTGCATGCTTGGCTCTTGTGCTTGTGGCTCAAACATCTTTCCAGGCACCTTCCCCAAGCTCATCTACTGTTGATGAAATCATAATCATACTAATGAGTATTATTAAATAATACTCATTAAATAAAAATTTTTTATTTATACAGTCACATAATTATTTTAAGTAAGTGGTTTTGCCATTGTTTCACTTCAAGCATGAAACAAGACAGTGTTCTCCTTATCAGGTGGTAACCAGTAAAATTTACTGCCTGAACAGGGTGCAAAGAAAGTTGGTTTTACAGCTTGCCATTCGGGCAAGTTGTTGCTAGTATGTACTAACCCAAGAGTGTTAAAGTAGCCCAAAAAGTTTTCATGAGCAGCACTGATTACAGTTCTTCTGTATTTTGAATTCCCCAAAAAAAAACCACTTGCCCTTTGGACAAGTTGAGAACAGGATTCTCTAGCCCAACTGCAAAATCCACTAGTCCTGGGCTATTGGACACAACTTTCTTTACACGCTGCTGAAGCAGCACTTCTTACCACCTGCAACTGAAAATTGAACTGAAAACTGAAAATTACTAAATTACATGTTGTAGTTTTAAAAAATAAGCAAGTTGTGGTCTGATCTGATCAAGGAAATGAATGAATGTGTGGACTATGGGCTAGGCATTTTGGAAACTCAAGAGAACATTGGAGACAGAGTAAAATTATTAGAATCAAACATTTTGAAAGGCCGATTTGCCTAAAATAGTTTCCAGGAAAGTGTGCCTCTGGGGCATTTTTGGCCTTACCGGCCATGAATAGTCCCTTACCTGCTGAGCTAAAATTTAAGGAGGACACTTTCCACTGCTATGAAATTTTCAAAGCAGTGCACAAGATGAGTGTGACATACATTTTTAAAGTCGAGTTTTAGAGGTCTTTGATTTACAAGTCTGGTTGAAGGGATAACTATACTTGTGCGCTTGAGACCAAGATCAAAATAGTAGTAAATGAGAAGTGTATGATCGTGGGACTTACTGAAGCTGTAATGTCTCTTTTTCCCACTTCTTACATAACATTTGTGCACCAAAATTTTGTGAGCACAGGTTATTTAATTAGGTTAATTTGAACTTACTGTAATGCAGCTCCGTGTTACTAAAGTAGATGCAGTGAAACCTCCTAATCACCAAAAGTACATTTTAAGATTCAGTGGTAGTTTATGGGAGGTTGAAAAAGAATGAAATAGTCGAACAACAAAGGGATGTGTTCCAATTTAGAGGTCCTGACACATATACTTTTTGAAGGAGAATTTACTGCAAAACAGCATGCAATTTCTTAGGTACCATTTAAGCTCCATGTTGTCACTAAAAGTTCTTTGTATAGCATAGTAGATACAGGAAACATAGAGATTAAACCTGTGTCAAGTGGTCACTAACAGAAGTTTAAAAACAATGGAAAGTTTAAAACTGTCTCTCCAGTCTCCACAAAGTGGTTGCGGTCGCTTACGAGGGGTGGTCGTTTACGAGAGCTTGCTTACCAAAACCTTGATTATTCCTGATACCACGAAAACTGAGTCTAGTAATTAATGTTGTTTTGTTGTACATGTACATTTTTTTTTGAAGAAAATAACAACAAACACACTGTTGCACAGAACACAGTCTGACATTACTCTTAGAAATCATGCATTACACTCGCAAACTACAGATTAGTCACTAATCTACAAGCAGATAACTGACTAATCTGTGGGTTGCACTGATTTCCAAAAAAAACTGTTGGCTCTTATCCAATCAATGAGAAGTCAGATAGTGAGTACAATGTATAATGTAACATATTAAATTTAAATATCTACGTCATTAAAAGCTGTAGATAATTATCTGAAGTCAGCATTGCATAAAGCAGATCTGGTATTCATGTAAGTATTGATCAACATTCACCTTTAAGTTTTAATTTCTGTTTATTTGTTGTTGTTTTTTTAAGGATAAGAAGATTCGAATCCTTGAGGAAAAAGCTAAATTGTTAGAAAAAGCCAGAGGTAAGATACAGTGTAATAGTGGAGTGCATAAGCTTTTAAAAATATCAAGTTGAGAAAGTCTTCCATTTAAAACCTTGGTCAAGTGAACCAAAACTCTTAAATTATCTCAACAGATCATATTGAGACAGGCGTAGCTACCTAACCTCAGTACACTCATGGGTTACAGGCAAAATGTTGAAGATTAATGAAAACAAAGTCTAAAATAATGATTAAAAAAACAAACAAACAAACAAACAAAGGCAACAAAAAAAACAGAAGGTATATAAGTGATAGCTTGGCTGTCAAATAATTCTCAAAAAAAAAATTCAGCATTCCCCACCCCCGCCATGGAAGGGTGTGGGGACTTGCTCTGCAGTCCCTTGGTAGAATACTTTCCTATCTTACTTGTATGTTACCATACCATATCGTTAGAAAACACATATGTAATCAAATAAACCCACATGGAAAGAATTCAGGAGATGATGGGGGGCAGATTTAAAAACAACTTTGCATTATACCTATGGAAAAATTAATCCTAGCTGTGCCACTGTGAGGGATATTGAATTTGTGAATAGAAACTTAGGTAAAGTATGGTAGGAAATAGAGATGGTCACCTCATTCAAGCATTTAAATTTTATCCGCCCCTTTACTTGCCTTTCAGGTTATAATTCAGATACAATAACAGAACTAGAAAGAAAATGCAGGAGATTACAGACTCAAGTATTCCAGATGGAGGTACAGTGGAGTACCGTCTTATTACCCCCCCCCCCCCCCCGGTTTATACGACGACCTCGTTATTACGACAATATTCTTTCGACCCAAACGTAAAAACCACTGAGTCATTTTATTATTTTAAATACCCCGTTAATACGACCATCTCGTTATTACCATCAGGGTTTATTGTCCAACGGTGGTCGCATCAACAGGGTTCCATTGTAGTAGGGATATGATCCTGGCTGAAATTAAGAAAACTCTGATTGTTTTTTTGACCCAGCTTCGAGTCAGTTTTAGTCATGGTATGCCTATATCATCCCACATGTTTATGCTTAGATTCTGAAGATGACTACAGCACAGGTTGTCGAAACGTCAGTCACTGTCAACAACACTCAACCGAACGAACAGACTCAACCTACTTATCAAGTGACTTCTGGGTTCAAACCTTTCACAGTTTTACGTTCACTTGAACGACAGAGCGAACCACTTGCAAACCACAAAAACTCTGACACTGAAGATGACTACTGTAGAGGTTGTCAACCAGCCTGCGAGGAAGATGTTCTCTCGCGGCTTGCTTCGCTCGGGATAAATGGAGAGCTTGCTCACAGGCTTGTAGTCGAAACCTCAGCCCAAAAGACTTGTTTCCAGCACTACAGCATTCTCGCTATTACTCGTAGTGGAATGACGACAAGTGACAACGGCTATCGCTTTTTCCCGCCAAAATAGGGACTTTAAGATCCAACGAGATCCTAATGACTTTATCTGACCGCCTGGGCGGGTATTGAAGAAAAACGGTACGACAGACTATTACTTTCTCTGTTTCAGGACTTTTTGGCTGATTATGGTATGGTGTGGGTTGGAGATGACTCTGCTGCTGATTCTGATTATGATGTTTTAGAAGAATCACCATCCTCAGGCACTAGCACTTTGAGCCATCAACAGGCAGTATGGAATCCTGGTAAGTTAAAATTTTGTATATTACCTAATTAAAAGAATGTTTTAACATTAAAATGCCCTGTTGTCTCGAAGGAAACGGTGGTAGTCCTGTGAACCTTGAGATTCTCGGGCGTGCGCATTTGTTAGTCTTGAAAACCACGAGGTTTTTGGTCGTTTTGCTCGCTCAGCCTTTTTTTTTCTGTTAGTGTTTCGAGATTAAAGTTTTACACAATTCTCACCGACCAATTACCCGGAAGTACACCTGTCCACACTACGTTTAGGCGATTACCAGCCGTTAGTTGGAAAATGAGCCCGCGCTCCGCCCTCATTCCTTTCGGGAAGGGAAAAGACTGGACCCGCGAAAGAGTAGGCATTGCCTAACAACCAGTTAATGCCCTGTCCACACTTGGTTTACGGGCGCGATTACCACCCGCTGTTCAGAAAATGAGCCCGTGCTCCCTCTTTTCCCTAGGGAAGGAACAAGACCGGACCCGAGAAAGCTGCGGAAATAGAGCCTACACTGGGTTATGCATGCGTTTTGTAAACCCTCGTTCTTGTTTTTACAAAAAACAGAGAAATGCCCTTGTCCATGATGATACTAGCTTTTTCGGTCGCGTTGTCTCGCAAGCCCATGAAAGCGAAAGTCGGCTGTATTTCGTTACCAGGCTATTCCCGGACGGTTTCGCTCTGACGAAGGGTTATAGCATTCGAGACTTCAGCTTTTTAACGATTTTACGCTGTTAAATGAAATTTTCCACATGATACAGTCGATAAAACATAAATAAAATAAATAAATAAATAAAAATTTATTTATTTATTTATTTATTTAAAACCAAAATTTTGTTTTTTCAGGCAACCTTTGTTTTTCGCCCCATGTATGAAAAAGGGCATCCAAGATAATATTGGATACTGGATTCCAATCGTTTGTGGGATTCCGGATTCCTTAAGCTGTATTCCGGATTCCAAAGTCCAGGATTCGGGATTCCAAAAGCAGAAATTTTTCGGACTCCGGAATCGGGATTCGCTTACCTGCGGTCGAAATTTCAACCTAGTGTAAGACTGAACCAGAACTTACACATGTAATTTCTTTACCAATTTCAAACCGTATTAGAAAATATGTTTATTTTTTAGCAAGGCTTGATAATACTACCTGTTTCTCATAGTTACCGTTTTTCAATATTTTATACTAGATTCTTCACTAGTTAGCAATATGCCTCGGGAATTTAAAATGGACTTTGACCTTGTCATGAAGAACATCAGAGAACTTAACATTCTGGCGGGAGAAGGCTGTAGTGATGTAACAAGAACTAAAGATGGTGCTAGACTGAAGGTACATTAGTGGTACATTAGTCGTGATCCATTTACCATCTTATTGCTTCTCTTAGGAATACGATTTCAGTTACGACTGTAAGGGTTCTAGATTTTTAATCTGGAAGGTGGTGGTCGACGGCTTTTAAAACAATTTTCAGGCTCCCCCCTCGTCTTAAAAATAATAATAATAATAATAATAATAATAATAATAATAAACAATCGTCTTATTTTGGGCCAAACTAAGGCTCGCAGGGGTAGAAAAAAAAATTTTTTGATAGTGGGATCCCCACTTATCTGTCGTTCTGTATCCGATCCGCCAATCCTCGCTTCGACTCGCCTTTTATCCAGTGAAAGACGAGTTTTGGTAGTTTATTTGCGTCAAATTTGGAATCAGATGGATAATTTATTTTGCTTATTTAGAAAAAAAAGGAGAAGAAACGGTAGTCAATATTTTATCGATACAGCAAGAATCACAATGACAGTAGAGAAATCGCGGTGGTAGGGACGCGATAAAGAAATCGTGGTAGAGAAACCCCATTAGTTCTCAATCGCGTTTGCGATACCTCTGTCGCGATTTGTCGATGGTGATCGTGAAATTACCCTAACCCCAGTACACGCCACCGTTTTTTATCTTTCAACTGTTTATTTGCTGCTTGCAGGTTCGTGATCCTGTTCCTCTGTGTTTGTATGCAAATGGTATACTGATGTTTGGTGGTCCATTCAGACCGTATTCTGATCCAGTCACACAGGTTAGCAGCTATCTAAAAATAGCGACCTTTCGATTTGACTACGCGCACGAAATCGAGTGCGAGTATGAGTATGTAATTTCCAGCCAATTATATCTCCCATAACTCGCTTAACTCCTTTCTGTTGCTGGGTGGCACATAAGTGAACGAAAGTGAAGAATGATCATCGCAGTAAATTTTCCAATTTAAGCAATTGGAAAGAAGAAGCCTGAAAAAAATCAGGGCTTCAACGTGATTCGAACCCGTGACCTCCGCGTTACCGGTGCGTTGCTCTACCAACTGAGCTACGAAGCCACACATTGAACGTTAGGTATAAGATTGGTGGGATAAGTAGTTATATGGGGCAAATGAATTTAGTCTAAAAAAACTATTACACAATATCGTACTCCTTGTCCTTTCTAAAGGTCCCTAATACCTATAGGAGGGCGGTGGGTTGAGGATTATTGTCAGCAAATGCAGGAACTAAATGGTACTAGTAATAACTAAAATGAACAAATGTGGTTGAACTAGGAAAGGTTATCCAGCAAAGGTTTTTCGCGCGCTGATTGGTGAAGAGCTACAGTCCATGAGAGTGCAGACCGTAAAAATGACTTGATGGTGGTGCAATTTTTTTCCGGTTTTCCGTGCGCCATTTTCCAAGAAACTTAACTGGAATTCGAAATGTCGCTTAACAGTTGTCAATTGCAATTTTATGTGAGAATACAGATGGACAACAATATTTTGTGTTTTATAATCTTGTAGACCATACTAATGACGTCAAAACGTTCAAGCTCGTCTGTGACTCGTGGTCATGAACATTTTGACTTCATTTATATGGTCTGTAAGACCAAGGCCAAACGTCGAAGTTCTTGCGTTGCGTCGAACCAAACCAAGCAAGTTCACTTCATGACAAGATTCGACATTTGTCTCCGTTAAGTTTTTTTGAACCTGAGCTTTAGATAGACAAACTTGTTGAATCCGTCCCCTTCGAACGAAGTACCTCGGAAAGTTTGGGGCGTTTTATTGCTATTGTGTATATTTTGATAATTGTCCTAACATTTAAAGTACCAATTTCTCTTCTTGCACTAATTTATAGACGACGATTTAGACACTGTCGCAATGTTCTACTTTTAATCGGTACCTTTTGTGTTACAGCAATGCATGAAAGACGTAATGGATGGTTATTTTCCCAGCGAACTACAGAGCAGATATCCTGATGGCATTCCTTTTGAGGTACATAACACAGCGGTTAAAGGGATGTAGAATTAGTTAGTCAAAGCGGCAGTCACTGGGGCTTGTTTCCAATTCTCCAAAGCCATGACACTTCAAAAAGCGATTTTATTTCTGCAGTGCTTTCATTAATGATTGAAATTTTATTGATTTTAAAATTTCCGTTGCAGTAGTTAGTGAATGAAACAATTGGGTTGGGTTGTTGGTTAGAATCTCGCTACTATTCTTCTGGTCCCAGTTATTTAAAAGGTGGATAGCGTTATCCATCGGATAAATTTCTATCTACGGAATAGCGCAATTGGTTTCCCAAATATTTATCGACTCGATAGAGATTTATCCTGTGGAAAGCGCTATTCACCTTTTGAACAACTGGGGCCAGATTTTGATTTTAGAATAACGCTTCGAGCCCAATAGACCTATTCGGCTAACTCAATGTTGTACCCAATTCAAACCCTTTGGGAATAAAACGTTTTGTTTCAGGAATTTCCATATCATTTAAATGCGAATGCCACATTATAATGAAAATACAATGCACAAAGAATCTTAACCCGGGGAGATTTGAATTGGGTGCAACGTTGAGTTAGCCGAATAGGTCTATAGAAAAACCTGTTCAGGAGCCGTTACTCTGGAGGAAGAGTCATAGTTTTGACGAATTTTCAGGGTCAGAAGGTGAACGCTCTAAAACGTTTTTGTATTTAATAATTATGCAGGTTCAAGACAAAAGAGACGTGGTGTATGAGGATAGACGGACGGCTTTGTTGTTTCCTGGTGAAGGGCAGTCGTTAGTTGATGACGAGAACGGTGATAAAAACCTCAAAGTGGAAAGTCAACCACAAGGTTCGTTTGAGTGTAGTGTTACTTTGTTCCATACACAAACTCCATTTACCGTTAGGACTTTTGAAAGGTAAAGTTATAGTGATTGAACGGAGCTAATCCAAAGGAAGCGGGGTTTGGTTTGAAAAATCAGGAATTTCAAAAAATCGAGCTTAGAAAAATTTCGTATTCCATTGTATGACAAGATTGTGAACAGTGACGTCACGAATCCTTTCCTAGATTTCCTTCTTAACATGCTAATTTCACTGATAAAAACTTGTGCGTATGCAGATGGCTATATTGCTTTCTTAGGCGTGAGGCTAATTCTTGTTTTGTGATTCTTCATCTATTTTTTACCTGTTTGTTGCTCAGTTTTCTGCTTAAATTCTTTTAATCAGGTCAGAGGCAACAGTCTATGGAACAATTTTTATCCCGTCTTCCACAGTCAGTCATAAAAGAGGGTAAAATAATAGACGTGAGATCTGGAGTAGCTAATGTTATAAAGGTTTGCAATTTAATTGTTTTTTAGTCTATTTGATAGAATCTTTTTTAAATAGGTATTTTTTTAGGTATTTTTAGGTATTTTTATTTATTTGCCACACAATTACAATAATTACTTAAAGATGCCAAAAGAAAAAAAATATATATATAGGAAGAGATGGCGAGGAGGCCTAAAAGAAACTATAGAGCTTATGTTAATTAGGCCTCCTCAATTACAATTTTTCGAAGATGGCATAAAAATTACGGCGACGGGTACAATATAATATCAGGTGAAAAATTAAACTAATCAATATTACGGAAGTTTACATGTACAAATGTTGAATATTAAAAGGCTTTTTCCCAAGATTTTTGTTGAAGTATACTATAATTATTACAAATAAATGCCTTAAGTGCTCTTTTAAAGGAGAAAGGTGAGGAAGCGTTGATGATGTTGGTGTTTAAGGTGTTGTAAATTTTAGGTCCTTGATAAAAAACGGAAAATTGCTTGGTTCGAGTACGACAGAAAGGCAGACGAAATTTACACGAGTTTCTTGTATTATACGAATGAATTTGACTTTGTAAGGTAAATTTACAATGAAATTTGAAAGGTAGAGTATGGTTTTGATAGGAGTACATGAATAAGCCTAGTTGTATTAAGTATATATCATGAAATTTTAAGATACCAAGATTTTGAAAGATTGGATCAGTATGTGCATCGAAAGTGGTTTTAGCTATAGTTCTGATCACTCGTTTCTGTAAAATCTCAAGACGAATAAGGTTAGTTCTGTAAGTAGAGGCCCAAACTAAGTTGCAGTAAAAAAGGTATGGATAGACTAGAGAAAAATATAGTGTTCGTAAGGTTTTCGTGGATAAATAGAAACTCGATTTACGAATAATTCCTGTGCATTTAGAAACTTTATTGGCGACATGTGAGATTTCAGATTTCCAATTTAAATTTTCATCCATGATTACTCCCAGGAAAACTGTTTCTTTTACTTGATCAATTTTTTGACTATTAATTAAAAATAAACGTAAAAATGGCTGATCAGAAGTATCTATGCTTACAACTACAGTAGTATCTACTGTAGTTGTTCTTTGTTGAATTCCGTCCTCCTCCTCCGTACATTTGTTTGTTTTTTAATTGAGAGAATTAGAATTACGGTTAAGGCAAAAGTCAGATTCAAGTTGACAATTTCTCAAATCACGAAATGAGCAATATGCAAGGTAATTCTTACAGATGATAGTGGCATCACACGACTTTTATGTAGATGTAATGAACAGCTAACCGGCAAGAAAAGGGAAAACTTGGTTGTGTAGTACAAATCATGTGTCGCATGGCGGGTGGTGTTCCATTCCCACAACATGTATGTGTAGAAGTAATCATACTGCTCCTGGTCGAAATTTTGACGTACAACGAACACTAGTTTGGCCTCTGGAAATTGCGTTTGAGGGTCTTACAATCTAACTCAGTGAAATCTCTTAATTCAACATGGAGGTGGTGGGAGGGGAGGGGGTTGGGCGGGAGTGGTGGATGGGTTTGGAAGTGATTTATATCATCGACTGTCTCTTAATGGACACCTGTAAGACATACAATTCCGCAAACGTACACCTAGGGTTAGTCCCTGCTTTCTATAGTATGCTGCCCGCTATTTTACTCTCTGTAAGAAGGACATCTCTCTTAGAGAGAGTTGTCTTTATTAATTTTAGCACTTGTTTGACTATGCCTATCTCTAGCGACTTTGTATGGTCCCTATTTTGTTGAAAATAAATCTCTGTTCTCGTTACTATAGGGTGGAGCAGGCCATTCAGACGTCAAAGTTCTTGATACACCCGCTCTCCAGGATATTAAGACCAGGTAATCCGCTATATTGTGGTCCCTCTGGGGCTTCCTATCTTAAAAGGCCTATTAGCACTAATCCAGGCTTCAAACGCACATCTCAAAATAACCAGTGTTACCAGTTCTTACTCCAATGACGCCATGCTAAGACAAATATCTGATGGTGTCCGGATGGACAAAGTATACCAGAGGCTCGAAGAGCGAATTATATCTCAAGACTTTTAGTTTTTATTTTTACAGTTTTTACAGTTTCTAGATTTTTAGTACGTTGAATATGTAAAAAGACGTAATGTCTTCTTTTTCTAGTTCGAGGTAAAAAACTTCAACCCATAATTGTATGTGTCTTGTTTTCAATTGGGTAGAATATGATTTTTTGTTAGCATGACTAGATCTCGAAGTAAGGGCTTAACAATATTTTTTGAAGTTCCTAGACAAGAATTTTTTCAAAAACTTTGCCTAAACACTGGGTTAATTAAGCGACTAGCCATCTTTAGACGATACATGCCTTGATGGTTATTTTCTCTTTTAGTTCCTAATTGGCTGAGTTGATCTACCTCACTCTAGGCCCGATCGGTCTAAAGATAGCTAACTTGTGCTCTGGATTAGGCCAAATTACAAACAATACTTTTCGCAAAATAAGAAGTGAAAAAAGCGTATTATGCTGTATTTACCTGCATACCTTGAAAACTGTAAATTGTAAAAGTCTTATTATCTACCCCTTCCCTCCCTCCCACTTGCTTTTCAGGGATTTTACAACACTGTTTTGGGGACTTTTTGCAGACTACTTGTGACGCACTTTAAAATCAGTGAAATAACAAGTTATGAGTGCCTCCTAAAGCGAATGTTAATTTGAGATGGACGACCACACCAAGGACTACTGGCCCTGCTCTTTATGAACACTGGAAGATTGTTTGGGCTCGTTAACATCCCACAGGGTTTATACTTTCTGCAAAGATCGGGAGACGTATTCTACGGTTTATTGTCTTATCTGAGGAGACTAGATTCCAGGGCTGTCACGTTGTGCCTTGGAGCGGGGATGTACAAGCATCACCTCAGACTACTCAGTTCCCGGATCCAAACCTTGAGATAAGGCCGGGGTTGGTCATCCAGACCCTTAGATAAGGTGGGGGGCTCCCACAAACATTTTTTTGGCCCTTCGGGCCTCCGTTTGATCTAAAAATAATTGAGGGGGGGGGACCGGGCCCCCCGAGCCCCTCCATCGGCCACTGCTACTTTCATGGGAAACGGAAAGGAAATAGAACCAAAAGAACTTCGTGGCTGTTCTATTCCCCACCTACTAATTGCATATAGGAGGCATCGTGACATCTGTGACAGCCCTGCTAGCAAGTCTAACCGTTTGTAGATAGTATTACAAATGCAGCACTTTTTTTCTCCGCTGGCCGGGATTTGAACCTCTCGCTTAGCTGACCGGTGCTTATCCAGCTGAACTAACCAAACTAACAGCCCAAAACGGTCTGTAAGTCAGTTAACCAAACCGCCAATTAAGATTTGTAACTTTGGTTTATCGCTGACCACCCCTTTGAGTAACTGCTAAATTCTTTTATTTATCAGAGAGTGACGTCTCTGAGTTTGAAGAGAACTCTCAATCACTTTGTACAATTGCATTACAGGAGTGCTTCTGGGCCAAGACCACAATCAGGTTCACCTCAAGTTACAACATTAAGAATCAAGTCCGAATCAGGAGAAATGGTAAGTCTGCCAACATGACAGACTCAGGAAGTTGTGCGAGTGAGGAAAAGTAGGCGAGACGAGTGAAAATGTTTCAATTAAAGTTAAAACTGGTGGTCCCCTAAGTAGATTACAGGGTTCGCATAGTTTGGAAAAGTCCTTGAATTTGAGGGGGAGCTCTTGAAAAGTTCTTAAATTTCTATGTAAGCCCTTGAACTTTCTTCACGTTTCAAATGTAGTGGCCTTGAAAGTGTTTTTAATGCCTCTTGGTTGTCCAAAACAGAAAGTAAATCATAGCTCAGAGAAGTTAAAGAAATATTTGAAGCGTTTTTTTTGTTTTATGTAAGAATTAGCCATCAATTTACGAATTTGGTGGAGCAAACAGTTCGAACCTTAAAGTCCTTTTAGAATTCACTGGAAATTGCATTTTTGTTCAGTTTGTGAAATTACATTCCTGGTAGGTGGTCCTTGAAAAGTCCTTTAAAAATGGTTGCAATTTTTTGTATGAAATCTGTAGAAACGTTTAACTATAAGCCAAATGCATGGGGATATTTTAGGTCTCTTTTTCCCCCGATGCGTTCCAACACGTAAGTATTGCAATGCTCACCGTGGAAAAGGACAAATCATTTGTTGAAGACATGACAGGGAATCTGCCCAGCACAATCGACGGTGGACTTTATCTAAGATAGGAAGTTCAAAATTAAAGAGGTTTCTTGTCTCTCGTAACTGTATTCTCTTTTCTTGTGTCTGTTTAGACGTACATCTTGAAAATGAAGTTTACAGACTGTATTGCGGATGTAAGGAGTCACATAGACGCTGCAAGGTTTGTGCTCACTATCAAACTGTACCTCTTGTCCGAGCGCTGAATGACGAGTTTTGGAAATTCTGGAGAGTTTCAAGTAGCATTTTTTTACCATCTTGCTTCGAGAAAAGTTGATGTTTGTGTGATTGCTTTTTTAAACACGGTGGTTAGTCGCTCCCGGCTCTACCCCCAACTCGGTTGAGGTTGGTTTTCTTCCCTCCTCGTCTTCTAAACTGATCCAACAGCAAGGGTGGACCAACCCGGAAGTAATGGCTCTTTTGGGGGTCATCGGGAAGATTCAGCACGTCATTTTTTCACATTTGTAGTTTAAAACGCGAAAAGGTTCGTGTCTTTTCGTCGGATACATTTGGGATCGTATGCCTCAATATATGTAATTGTTTTTGTTTCATTTTTCATGAAAGAATTGATGAAAATGAGCCTTAAACGAAAATTTAGAATAAAGAAAGCTGACTTTCTGTGGAGACTGTTAAGATGAATGCTCACCTTCACAGTACAAGACGCGATGATTACAGACAGAAAATGGGAAGCTTGCCGTTTACCATAAGCGTCTTGTGCAAACGCTGTAATTGGATTCTCAAGCAAGGCTCTCTTCTGAGACATGTGATAGTTCTTTGGCGCCGTTAAGCAGTCTTCACTTTTGCATAATTTTCAAGTTGCTGATTTATATTATTCTGTTTTAAAATTTAGGCCTGAAAATGCCCCTCCATACGACATCAAGACGTCATTTCCCAACAAAGTCTACGATGATCCAACTGCATCTCTGCAGGAATGCCGCTTAATACCTAATGCAACGCTGCACTTACTCGCCAAGAAAGTGTGACGAGTCATGATCATGACGTCATGACTTCAGATAGAATGCGGCTTAGTACCTAATGCAACGCTTCACTTACTCGCCAAGAAAGTGTGACCAGTCTTGATGACATGGTGACTCCACACGGAGTATTGAATCAAGTCAGACGGTGTCTTTCCTCAGGACACCCTTCTTTTTAGGGTCTCTTATATCTCGGTTTAATTTATTCACTTCATTTACGTGACGTCGCCCCTGTCATGTGTTAGTTTACCAAAACAATGAAACGGTGGCCATATTAGTGAACCCAAAAATATCCTGTGGGACTTGAACTCTTTCCTCATGCAAATCTTCCTCTCCCTCCAAGAAATTTTCGTAGCTGTTTCCCGTTTGAGTGAAAAGGTTACACCGGCACGGAAATTATATCGGATAGGGCATCTGTTCGCACATAAGAACCAGTGGCGGATTCACCCGGGGGGGATACTCGCAGAAAAATTGGGTAGGGGTGTGCGGCCCGCTTCCCAAAACCCTTACCCTATTTATGACCAAATTCTGCAATTTTCCCTACCCTATTTATGACGTAACCAAAAATTTGATACCCTATTTATGACCTGGAACATAATTTGTGAAGGGCTTTTGTTGCTTGTTGCTTGTATTTTCTAGCCTACAAAGCAGCCGGTGGAGAGGAAGGCAAAGCGCGGATGGAAGGAGGGGGACATGATAAGGAAGTAGCTTCTTCTAAAAAAGTGCATTCAAGACTACAGTGCAAAAATCGTTACCCTATTTATGACCAAAATGGCGGCAAAATAGCCAAAATCGATACCCAATTTATGACCAAAACGGCTGAAAAACCCTACCCTTTGGGGCCGCACATACCTATATAGCCCATATTAGGGAGTACCCCCCCCGGGCGGATTCAGGCCTTCCCTTAACTCAGCGGTGACCGCCCCCCTCCTCCAGTGTAACAAAGAACTGCAGATGGCCTTTTTTATTTTAGTCACTTCAAATATTTCTTTAAAATCAAGTATTTAAAACTTCTACAATTATTAAAGGTTCATAAATTTGATTTCTTGTGTCTTAATTCGAGCATTTATTAGTCGCGTGTTTCAATTAATCCTTCTTAATTTTTTTTTATTGTTCTGTGTTTTTATAATAATACGTCAAGGTTCTCCCTTGGGGTTTTTACTGCAGAACTGAACTAATTTGTGTGCAAATGTGGACCTCGCATAATTAACTGACAAACGGTGCGTGAAACTACAATAGTTTTTAATTTCCTCGAGACAGAACGGAGAAAACGGATTTGTAATTGTCAGACAAAATTGAAATAAAGAGTTTTCAGCTCTACTTCGTGTATGTGCGTGTGTGTTTTGTTTATATATCCGATTTTCAGCGCTAAATAGAAGACATAAGCCGTTCCTCGTGTTGCTAGGTGATCGTTTATCTTATTCCTACTTTTTTGCAGTGGAACGCCGATTTTACGATCTTCGATTTAACGATATTCCCGATTTAACTATCAACATTCTATGTCCCTTCAAAAGTTACAGTAAATTGTATGGAGCAGAATCCCCATTTAACGATATTCGATTCAACGATATTCCCGGTTTCACTATGGAAATTTAGCGACCCAAGCATAAAAGTTTTCCTGTTACAACGATATAATTGATATCACATACCGTAAAAGAGTGACAAACATCTATCAATTACACAATGTTTTATTTAGGTATGGGGATCCTTTGTCCAGTAGGGCACAAGACTAGCGTTTCTGTCAACAGCTTGTCACACTAAAGTTATTTGATATCTAAGCCGCTTTATCATCCCGATTTTGCGATATTTTTAGTTCCTTCGCCGTCATTTCGTTAAATCGGGACTTCGTTTACAACGATATCCCGATTTAACGATATTATTTTGCTGTCCCCTTGCTTGGAGGAACGCATTTTTACCTAGCTACAATCATCGTCAAAAATGTTGGGAAGGTTACCAATTTTTACCTTTTTTGCACTTGTCCCCCCCGTCCCTGGATCAATGTTGGACAAAACTAAATTGTTTTTGTGCGTAATTGTTGTTACATGTCCCAACATTGAATAGGGGGCGCGGGGGGGATTCAGGAGAAGAACAAATAATCTTTTTTGAACATAGACATAAGGCGTATGAAATGGAGCAATAATGTTGTTACAGTCAAACCAGGTCAAGCGTTCCCGTCGCTAACAAACTAATGAATTCATTAATGGAAAAATGATTTCGTTTGTTGATTCAATAATCCATTCATAAAATGAATAATCCAACGGTCAAATTGTACCTCGATTCAATAATCAAATGTTGATTTGGTTTATGAACAAAATCTACCTGTTCTTTATTCTTGTCTGTTGTGTTCAATCGTATTTGCTTCCCTTTTCCTGCCGTTTACGATTGCGTTTTTCATTGCCTTTAATCAAAATAACAGCTAGAATAGACAGACCGCAAACGCAAAGAAACTGACAAAGGCCGAGGCCCGGGGGCCGAGGATCGAAATCCACCAATCACCGCACATACACTGACCTCAGTTTGACCGTCGTGTTTTCTAAGGGGTCAGGCCTAGGTCTGTTGCACTGATCATTGGCAGCAAACTAGCGTACATGTAACAGTTTGTTTGGGTTTGAACTTCAAAACTCGCCAGCACTCGACTCTCAGAAAAAAAAAAGGAAAAAACAAAATTCTGAGGTCAACTTGTGGAAAGTGTAATTTTTCAAAAAACAGTAATCGAATCAACATTCGATTATGGAATCGAGGCTAAATATGACTATTGGATTGTTTATTTTATGAATGGATTATTGAATCAACAAACGAAATCATTTTTCCGTGAATGAATTCATTAGTTCGTTAGCGACGGGAACGCTTGACCTGGTTTGACTGTAAAATGCCTGGTATGTGTTTAGATTTGTAAAGAATGTTATATTTGAGACAATTTAGCACGAGTCTGCGAACTAAGACCATGATTTTTGGTTCACGGGAGGTCTGTTTATTGATGATATCGACCACAGCGTGATTGTCCGAAAAGAAAACAATGCAATTATTGCGCATGATGTCGCCCCAAATCTCGGTTGCCAAAACAATAGGAAAAAGCTCTAGTATGGATATATTCAGAGATTTCCAACAATCCGGCCAATGTCCGTAAAACCAACGTTTGCCTAGGACTGCGGCGTAGCCTAGAGAGCCCGCCGAGTCTGTATAATTAAAGTTTAATGGTACTAGATGTAAGCCACTTCGCAGATAAGAAAAAAGATTTCCCGTTAAACGAATTTAGAAAATTGAGCCATAACAAAATGTCCTCCTTACACTGTCTCGTGAGACGAATATGATGATAAGGCTTACGCACACCTTTAGTCAGATCAATCATTCTGCGGAGAAAAGCACGACCGGGAAGTACAACCGAGCACGCAAAATTCAATAACCCTATAAGCGACTGCAGTTCTTTAAGGGTTACACTGCGTTTGTTATAGAATTCCGTTAACAACCCCCGGCAACGTGCGAGCTTATCCTCCGGCAAACGGGCGTGCATGTTAATTGTGTCAAGAGTGATCCCAGCAAATTGTAAGCAGGTCGCGGGCCGACGGTTTTCTCATCTGCGATAGGGACTCCGACCTCGTTGCACAATTTGATAAAGTTATCTAAATCCCTATGACACTTGTCTCGCGAAGGTACGAAAAACAGAAAATCGTCTAAGATATGTATGACAGCGGAAGCTTGTAATTTGGCTGTGGCAATCCATTCTAGCGCCGTGCTAAACGTCTCAAATATGTTGTACGAAGACGAACAACCCATTGGAAGGCAACGATCAAAATAGAATTTACCTTCCCATTCTAAACCGAGCAAGTCAAAATCTCGAGGGTGGAGAGGTATTATGCGGAAAGCCGACTTAATGTCAGTTTTTCAGTGCAAGGAAACACCCAGCACCTAATGAGCTGATTTTCTTAATCGCGTCATCGATAGTAGCATAATGTACAGAAGATAGCTCCCTAGGAATACCGTCATTTACAGAAGAACCTTCCGGAAAAGACAAGTGATGTATGAGACGGAATTCCCCAGGAGCTTTTTTAGGAACAAGGCCAAGAGGGGAAATTCGAAAATTCTCAAAGGGAGGCGTGTCAAAAGGACCAATTATTCGCCCTGACAATACCTCCTTATTAAGCTTATCAGTAACTTCCCGTGGGTTTTCAAAAGCACTCTTTAGATTTTTGGATCGAAAGTTGAATTTATTCCCAAAATATCGAATAGAAAAACCAAAAAGAAAGCCATTTACGAGGTAAGTCGCTATGGCCGGATCATACCCTCTAAGGAACGGTTCCAGCCTGTGCGGCTTTACTGGAGTTGGACCGCAATTTAAGTGGGGCGGATCCTTTTTTGTCCTCTCCACTTGAGGATGCATGCTGGACACTGGGCTTGGCATGACACTGAGTTGCGGGATGACGTGGCACCGCACTTAAAACACGTGTGCTTGAATCGACAGCCGGCACAGAATTCGCCGGAGTGAAATTTCCAGCACACACCTTTTGGAAAGGACAGAAATGGCCGGGTTTGGGGTTTTTTATTCCGTATATTCTCCGATGGAGATTTTGATGTTACGTGAATGGCCTGATTTCAAAGTTCCCACATTACCCTGTCCCAGGGAAATTTCTCTGGATTTGTTTGACGCAAATAGCGGAATTGCTGGTCGTAATAACGCCAGTTTCCCGACTTATTAGCAATATCTCTGACAACTTCACAATATTTAAGCAAAGCCGCAACCTTTAGCGGGTATTTAACTGTATAAACAGCCACAAAGGTATTAAAAGCCGTCTGCCATTGCCCCAAGGATAAAAACTTAGGCTTTGGTTTGGATGGCTCGAGGCAATTAAAAGAGAGAATAAATTTATCATCGTCGGGAAAAGACGATAGTAGCGCCCCAAAATAAATGTATTCATCGGCCCAGATCTTTGCCTTGAGCTTAGCCGACACCCGTGCCTCCAAATCAATTGCTACGCTCGTGAAGTTCACTTCACTAGGTTTGTCATTGGAATTTGAGATTGACATACCCGCCGACAGGGATGAAATGCTGACTATCTCGGCAGCTGTGGCGGTCTCCACTGTGGCTGAGGCATCTACAGGCCAAGGACTTTGGTTAACCGTGGGAGGACTGGATAATGGGGTCGTTTGCCCAACTCCAACTGCTTTCAGGGCCTCTGTCACTGCCAATGTGACCACGCTCGTTAAGTCCACGAGGTTCACAGGTTCAGCTGTTTGTTGCGCTGCTGAAACCTCGGCCAGGTCACTCGAGGCACTAGAGGATGGGGTCGCTCGTTTTTGTGATCTTGGCAGCTGACCTACCCGCCTGTTTAGCTGATTTTCTTAGGAGGCATGACTTAAATAAACCGCACAACATTAATGACCAGTAACGCATGACTAAGACCCCTAACATAAGTAATTAAACAAAGCATAGTAAAGAGAGTAAAAACGGGTTGCAGTCAGCCGGCCAAATTTTGGTGTACGCAACGGATCGAATGCAATAGAGGAAAAATGTGGATATATGATACATGGACACAAAACAATAGAGATAGGCGCACCAACGTTCACCGGGCGCAAAAATTATGTGTCGGGTATCACTATATCACAAAATAAACATGTGACTTGAGGCAAAAATTCTGACAGGCCTGTCTCAAGCGACAAACAAAATATAGAGGATATGGTGCATGGACACATTGAGGACAAACGTCCTATAATGGCCTGAGTGCACTGGGCACTAGTCAGACTATAAGAGAAAAATGCCTCACTCGTCACTATATATTACAACGACATAATTATGCACTTGGGAATTCATACAATCGTGAAATTATCAGCCCACTAGGCCTGCGGCCTTAATGACTGCACCCCGGATACTTCGAAACAACTTTAAGTTGCCCAAATCATTTAAGTGAACTCCATCCGGCAAGTTCAGGGTTCTCAATAGAAGGCGGCACCCGGCGATTGATCGCCACTTACTTTGGGATTTATAGCCGCTTACTTTGTGTTTAAGTCGCTTTTCTTTGCTTTGTTTTGACACCTCTGGCTTTGCTGAAGAGCCTCCTACTTTATCAGTGATCACCTCCTACTTAAAAATCTATTGAGAACCCTGGGCAAGTAATTGTTTTCCCGGGAGTTCCAGAAACCCCTGTGTTTCCAGTACAAGCAGTAAGGTATTGGTTCGAGAACAGCCTTAAGATACAAATGAAGTTTGGTAACTTTTAAATTGTACGCAGTACACTGAGGGGAGTGCCGCCGAATAACTTGGCATACTGCAATGCTTTTCACATTAAACTCGTCGTGCAGATATCGCACTAAAGTTTCAAGCTCCGAACCGACGGTTTGTGCCGGCAGTTTGGTTAAGTCGTTAGAACCCAACTCCAAGACTATAATATCAGGACTTAGACGGCGAATTATGCCTAAATCAAACTTCCGAACCTTCGCAATTGTGCGGCCACCTACACCATGAAAACGTATGGACCCTAGAGATGAGAGTTTGGCCATGAGGTGTTCGTGCCCCCTTTTCTGCAAAAACCCAGCAAGACGACGAATAAAGGAGTGTCCCAAGATTAAAATTTGAGGTGGCGCCATGTACCCAACAACAATAAGACGAAAATAAAAAACAGGACAAAATGATGAAACTTGCCTGATAAACTGGGAACAAAAATGAGTTGCGATAGACTTTCACTTTCGCTGAGATGTGCTCGCTTAGCTTGTTCGCAGAAAAGGGGAAGAACTTACTTGTCGCAGCCTTTACATAGCTGATGTCTCTCCACGTGACAAATAAAAAACCGTGTAATAGACCGCAGAGGCCACCCAGAGAACTGCTTATCGCAATGCCGCTCCTTAGCTGTTATCTACTGATAAGCTTATCTTTGGTCCCAACATAAAAACCATTATGTTCCTTCCGTTACATAATGCTGGCCTAAACATCATTTGTGACATCTTCGGATCATCGGAGTGTAGTTCGCTCGAATGTCACTTCCAACTGGCTGTCGATCTTTGGCTGGGAGAAAAGATCTGTAGTTTCTGTGTTTCAGAAAGGAAAGTGATAATATATAGATTTAGCCACAGCTAAAAGCGAAGCTCCCATTGATAAATTTATAACTTAAATCAAACAATAATTTTGTATTCCACAAATCAGTTAACTTAAGGGCACATTCATTTGATTTTTGAGGGAAAAGCTAAGTGATTTTGGAGTGACACAAATCTTGTATCGAGTGCCGTATCGAGTTGATATAGCCTTGTATGTACACCCCCAAAAATAGTCTTCGGTCACATTTAAGAGCAATAATGGCTCTTGATCACCGCAGATAAGGCGTGGAAAACAAATTAAGCCGAATTTTTTTGCGTTCGACAAGTTTACAAATTCTTGCCAATAAATCTGGGTGCGTGCAAACCATTCTTTTATTTTTTTATACACCACATCTGAGGAGAAAGAGTACTATGAGGCGCTGTTTTTATCATACAGACCTCGTACAAAATGCAGTATTTCACTATTTTTCAAGACAAATTGCATTCATTCAATACTCAGGACCACCAAAGCACGCGTGGACTTTTAATTATAGCGAAACCGTTCAAAAAATGTCCAAAATCACCCACACGGCCAGCCGGTTCTAACTTTTGACAAGCGCCAAATTTGCGAAGAAATTTTAAAAGAGTTACGCTTTAACGTGATAAAGAATTCATTGAGTCTATGTTTTATTAATGGTTTTATAACGATGTGTAATCTTAAAAAGCGTTTGATACGCTCGGCATTTTGAGTACTTCTGCAAGCGATGTTTATGAACGCCTGAAAACAAACGGCAAAGCGATGAAAATTACTCTTTTGAGACTACCAACAATCAATAAAGAAATATAATTCGGTTGAACATTTACAGAAACAATAATCTTCATTCACGAAAACAAATGAGTATTTAAGTGTCTCTAAGAATCCTCAAGTCTTTACTAGTAAGCTTAAAGATTAAGTTTATGTTTTAAGCCGCCGGTTTCCCGGTGTTTGCTCAGTTTCAAAGATGAACTCACGACAAGAAAATCGTTTAAAGCTTTCTTTCTACAGCTAAAATTACAATTAAATATTCTTCGGAAAGTTTTTTCTTTCTATTTACGGTAAATTAATATCGACTAAAGGCTTTTTAACGTTCTGTAAGCTTAAGCTTATATCAAACCTCATACTAGGTCAGAACAGTGTCTAAGTCAAATCTTAATACAAACGTGCATAAACTAGCTTCATAAACTGCGCCGCTGGACTTCATGAAATTAGATATAAATACAATAATTACTCGGGCTTACCATATTTCGAGATGCAGCTCCTGAAAGCTATCAAGTAAGGCAAGGATCGCTTAAGCCTTTATAATTCTCGTACGCATCCAACAAGGTGAAAACCAAAAACGATGCCATCCGAAATCGGATTGTCGGCTTTGACAAGCGACGCTTTTCTCAACCAAAAACCCAATAAATAAACCAGCCATGAATAAGAGAACACTCTTGATAGCAGCTGTATTTCGTTTTTACATCCAGTGGAAAAAGACAGTTAAAAACATCACAAGTTGACTCAAAAGTCTGTCAGCTTCAGCTGTCAAAGTAAACAACTTTCAAGTTGCTGCATAAATTTTACTTATGAACTCACCTGTCAAATTTTAACCAATCAGAGCATAAAAATTGGACGTGAAGCGTGACCAACACGTGACCATAGTAAAAAAAGGTCTTCCCCGCCTGTATTTTAAAAAAAACTGGCTGAATTTTTGCGTCTGAGGTCCGTTTCAAATCAAAATCGTAGTAGTGCGGGGCGATACTGACATAAACACAACATATTTGATATGAATTTAAAAAAAAGTACACGTGAGCCTGCGATCATTTGAAAACGAGTAAATTGTCAGCGGATAACTTCAAAAAAATACTCGACCTTGATGGGTCGACATCTGAGCCCGCGATACGGTCAGGTGATACTGGTCAGCGGATACCCTGTTTTGATAGCTGTCAATTGAGGGGGGGGGTGGTGAACTTGGTAGTTTGTTTGTCCGGACGATCTTGGCCATCGTGACGTCACGAAGGGAGAAGCGCGCAACTTCGAGGAGTTTTCGAAAATGGCGCCGTTGTCATTTCCAAATGCTACTTTTAAAGTTGGTTTTCCTGGATATTGACGCTCCAAAATGGTTTTTGTCGCGGTAGGATAGTGCAATTCCAACATCTCTTTCCGAAAAGGTGAGTGAAATGTGTATTAATCCGAAAAATAACGCGTATGAGAGCTGTAAACAGTTTCGGTCAATTTCCTCGAGTGGAATAATGTGCCGCAAAAGTTTGCATGTTCGCACAGTAATATCGCATTTTCTCGAAATCGGTGAGGTGTTGAACATCGAAACTTGGCATAAGGTTGGGTTACTTCTATTGGAAAACATTGTCTCTGAAGTTAATTGAGATAAACTTGCAGAAAAAATGATCAGTCCATTCGAGTGTGCCAGCGTAGCCTCTAAGCTGATGCAATGGTGTCATTACTTTGCTGTAAATTTTAAAGTAGTTTCTGATAGAGGGAAAGTATAGTTGCAACAGCTCTTTCCGAGAAGGAGAGTTAATTGTATTATATTCTGATGATAATTACCTCGTAAACAGTCTAAACAGTTTAAGCCAATTTTTTCAAGTGGAATATTTGTCGCAGAAATTTGCATGATCGCATATTAACATCGCATGTCTTAGAAAATCGGTTTGGTGTGGAAATTCGAAACTTGGCAGAAGGGTAGATCTGCAATAGTGGAAAACATTGTCCTTGATGTTTAATGGGAGAAATTAGCAGTAAAAATGATCAGTCCATTCGAGTGCGCTTATATTGATATAAAGAGATGACCTCGACTCGGTTACCCCGGCACAATTTAAGTCAATTTTTTTTCGGTTTTAACAAAAAGTAAACCAAAGACTTCCCTCAACACTATGTATCTATAATAATTACACCAGGAATATATATATTTTTAACACTTGTAGGTTGTACCATATTGTTGAAGCAAAGGATATTTCTCTGTAATACATATAAGCTTACATTAAGTTTTCATAAACAGCAAAAAAAATTAATAAGATTTACATACAACTCCAAACATGTACATCTGTTATGCATGAACCAATTTCATACCGTTCCATATCAATAGTTAGTGCGAATGGAGTCAAACATGTACAGTGAAACTTGTATAATGTAAGCGGACACTGCAGAGAATGCTGTAGTGCCCACTTAATACAAAGTTTCTTCCTACTACATACAGGTTTCAATAGAAAATGTCATATAAGTCAGGGTTGTCACTAAGGGCCGGGGGCCGGGGATTTCCCCCGGCTACTCAGAGCATGGCCCCCGGCTACTTTCGTCGTTAAATTAAACCAAAAGAGCACACCTTTGAAACACGCAAAGACTATCCATCAAACTAAATGCGAGTTTCATCTGCAGCAGGTTTAAGTAATTCTGAAATACTCTCGTGCAAAAACTAAGAAACTTCGGAAAAAGACATCTGCCTTAGATTTGGTACTAGTACACACGCGCTAAAACTCTCCGTTCGCGAAATGTCAGTAGGGAGTTTTAGCAACGACGACGGCGACGGCAACGAGAACGTCAAAAAAGCAATTGGTTTATTGAGCAAAACAACTAGTTTGCACGTGCATCACACTTTTTTGTACATTTCTTTGCCGTTACTGCACGCGACTACGACGTGAAAATGCCTAGTTTCACGTTTTATGGAGGACGTAAAACAAGCGACGACAAATTTTTCTTTCTCTTTCTAAACTTGAGTGCGCCCAAAGAAATCAAATCCAGGGAAATGTGCCTACATTAGCTATTTTCGGCGAATTGAAATAAGCGCGACGAAGTTGGAAAAAACACCAATTCATTTTTAAAAGTGACGTTTTCGCTGCCGTCACCTTTGTCGATGCTAAAAGTCCCTAGTTTCAACCGTTGTGTAGGGTTTGTGTTGATTCTGCACTCTTTGTTCACGATGAAAGACCTGAGCAGATCTCTGTTGACATCACAAGTTGAGGCATCTTCCGAGGGTTAAATCTCCCTGATGCTGATGTTGATGATAATTAGGATTATGATGAAGGCTTTGAAGATGAAGACTATGACTGATTGCCATGTTTAATATGTGGACATTTAAGTGACCAGGTCTACATTTAGCTTTAGGTATCGAGTATATAAAATAACGCACGGTCAACGGGAAATATTCGATCATGGTCCGCAGGCCATGATCACATGCTCTTAGTTCTACTTCCAAGAAGTTATATATAAAAGGGAAGTTAAGTATTAGCATTACTTTTACATTCTTCTCCTTGAGTCTCGTTTTGACATCTCAGCGTCGTGTATAAAGTATTAGCCCTGTCGTTTAAACGCTTTTCCGTAGGTCAGTTTCTTCGTATGTTAAGTGATGTTTCGTTCATAAATTCGAGACCACTAATGTCACCAGTTGTGCAGTTTAGTTTTGCCATATTTTATCCCGCGATTTTTCGTGCGTTACGCTTGTTTTAGCCTTATCAAATCATACTTTTATTTTTCAACAAGCCATAGTAACCTTATGTTTATGATGCTTTTTCGTACATTCATCATCCGCTTGTCTCCTTTCCGC